TATAAGACAATTAGACGCTTTCCCTAACCCCACTCACTATATTGACAGTTCTAATTAATATTATGCAAATGGCCAACAACAACAATTCTGTATTGACTCATCATTAATTTTTCACTGTATTGATATAATCAATCACTCCAAGACAAGTAGAACCTCTTACAGAATTTCTAACCCTTTTTACATCATTTACTCGCATTTTGTAAAAAAATCAAGAGAAGTAATAATGGTATATATCAAAATGCAATTAATATATACTATACCCCATTATGCAATAAACAGGATTGCCGCAAAATGTCTATTTCTTATTATTTCTTAGGATTATTTATTTCAGTTTTGTGACGGAAAATTGAAGCTCTGTGGCAACTAATAGCCAAGTAAGCTGGCAGATTTTGTTAATGACTCAAAGTTAAATTCAGGCTTTGTTTTATTTATATTTCATGAAAACAAAAGATAGTGGCTTTTATATCCCTGGTATCGGTGGTAAACCATGATTTATGAAATGTTTATAATTCTTAGAATTTTTATTCATATGTGGGATATATAAATAACTTTTTATATGATTTTATCATTCATTAGATCTTTAAGTCATAAATGGCCACTATAAAGCCATGTTATTTATGACGGGAACAGATGTTTAATTCGCGCTTTTAACACCAAATCTAAAGCTAATTTTCTATAGAGAGACGATCAGTTTGTTTCAGGTCCCTCTACGTCATTTTGGTTGAAACAACAGGCCCGTAGCCAGGATTTGCCAAGGGGGGGTTCAGTTTTCAAAAATTTCGAGGGGGGGTTCACATTTGACAATTTTGGCCCAAATATGGCTAAAATCACTTGAAAAGTGCTCAAAATGGTGAAAAACTGCATGATTTTGAAAAAAAATTTGGCCAGGGGGGGGGGGTTCGCCCGAACCCTGCGAACCCCCCCCCCTGGCTACGGGCCTGAACAATCTTTCGAGTTTAATGCTAGATGTGTTTTACCCTGAATTAGCAGTTAATGTATCAAATTTTGTCTTGTAATGAAGCATTTATTAATGAAATCCTTTAATCTCTTTTATGAATGGGGATGGTACAGCCATAAACAATAATATAAATGTATTATTTAATTTTGACATTGTTGTTTTATTTTATTTTAAATTGCATTGATTTTTGGAATCTATGGGTCCAATTTTGCGAATACAATGATTGATATTACCCTTTTAAGATGAACCAACTTGCTCCTACTCTGAAAATATTGGATGATTAAACCTTTAAACTCCCTGAAATACAGTTTTCCTAAATACCAGGCCCATGAGGCCATGACCAGCTTATGCCAGGGGGGGGGGTTCACTTTTCAAAAATTCCAGGGGGGTTAACATTTGATAACTTTGGCCTATTAAATCACTTGTAAAGTGCCTAGAATGGTGAAAACTGCATGAAAAATGTCATGTCTATAGTCAGAGGGTAGCATAGTAACCGATACTCAAGGGTATGGCCATCTCGCATTCAGGGTGATATTTTTAGTGTTTTTTCCAAAAGAAGCTGTTAATCCAAACAATGTGAAGATGATGAGAGTTAAAATATTCTGCCATTGTCATTATTTCTTTTTGGGATAAAGTACAAGCTAATTTGTTTTGTCTTGTATTGTCTCGAGAATGATGCATCTCAGTATTGTTACTCCGTAATGGGTCTTTCCATACATTACGTACATGACGTTATAGTTATTTGTAGATTGTTTGCGGAATTTTGTCGGTAAACTATAATTAAATTCACAGTAGAAATATGATAAACTACATCAGGGTCTGTTTACCAATGATAAACCTTACTGAATGCAATAAACCATATTCTAGATTTAATTACTAAACTAATTAAATTACATGTTTTAGTTCGTTTTAAATACCATTCACAATTATCTTGTTTACGCTTCACTTGTTTTTGCTAGCAAATTGTATACTCTATAAACAAAACTGAAGATAAAAATAAATTCTATCCATGGGTAAATGTTGAATCAGACTTAGAAATCGTCGTTTTCCCGGATGAGTTTATCGTCAAGGATATCATTTCTCTGTGCAAAATAGCATGTTGAGAGAACATTCAAAATGTGAGAAATTTGGGAGGAAATATTCAATATTTTTTGAATCGGCAAACTTCAATAAAATGTTGGTTTTTTAATCAAATAGGTCCAGATTTAGAATACTCTAAAACCTGTCTAATTCAAATACTAATGGCAACTGGTCAAAAAGTGTTCGGATTTGCAGGTGTTTACACTTCAAGGTTTCTTAATATGTAAATCAACGTGACAAAGAAAAGTGTTCACTTTAAGTAATTTTTGGTATGAGAGGTGTTCAGATATACAGGTTTTCCTGTGATTGATACTCTTCTTTTAGTTACCTCACATATTTCCTTTTTTAGAATTCATAGTAAACAATTAAATTGAAATAGGTATTTAAGTGATAATTGACATATGTTTTTTCTTAATGATTCTAAAATCGTTTTATAGACTTTTTATGACTCATTATTACAACTTTCTTATGTAAGTTTCTAGACATTAAAAAATTCATGAAGTATTTTATGAACATACGGAGTAAAGTTAAGGATGGTTTATATTGTTTGCCCGGTAGTATAATCATATATTTATGATTTGCTGTAAACTGCCAGCAAAACCTACTTTTAGAATCTGTTTAATTGTTTGTCATATTAGTTTATAATTTCCTGTACATTTTTTTAATCTACCCATTTAATTGGATAAAAGTTCATCATATGATTGTTATGTTATAGGCTTAATTTGAAAAGCACATCAGCTTGTTTATTAAGTGAGGTTCTATTCTTAGCGCACTGTCTGTGTTCCATCTCCGGTTGCCATGGAAACTAGTATTATTCTGATTCTTGTTATATTTGGGGCAGTGAGGCAGAAGAGAGTTTCATATACACCACAATTTCTCAGATTATAATAACGCATTATTGATTTCTTGAAACAACAAGCAAATACAGTACATTCTAAGCTAATAGCTAGGTTTAATTCCACGATATAATATTTAGGCAATATAGCACATATCTAGGCTCCCTCTAGTGGTGAAATCATAACTTGCTCATAAGAAAGGAATCGGGGATCACTGAGTACAACAGTTGATATAATATACAGTCATCAAATAAACTATGATCTAAATGAACAATAAGACACACTAAAGGTGCACTGGTGCACGGTTGGTCAGTTTTGTTTGTTGAATAGATATCTGAAGCAGAGTGTCTAATATTACTACACAGTACACATATACGGAAGAAACATGCTTACCATCTCTTTACAGGTCAGTTTGGATTAATTCAATATTATCTATTTGATCAATTAACTGTTTTATTGAATAATAATTTATGATTTGGAATTATATTTATGTGGTGCAGAGAGTATGCCAAGAGCAGCTCAAGTTACAAGAATTCTGCATGCTTTGTATTAAATCTAGAGTATTTAACATTTTAGTATTTTAAAATAGCAAGATGCAGTATAACATTTCAATTCATAAAAGATGTACTTTATTAGTAATTCTTGTATTCTGCATTTTGGAAAGCATCTTTCAAGTTATTTTAAATGAGAATCCTGCTATTGCAAAAATATACTTCGGGAAGGGTTAAAAAACTTCTGTTATTTTAACAGTTGGGTGGTCTTATAATCGTGTTGCAACATCACAGTTAAAATATCATAGTTTATGGTTTGCTATATTATATTTCATTATGCAGGCTAGAAAACCAACCAACTATAATTCTGCAATATTTACACATCATGGATGACATTAAGTGACAAACAAATCCGATTAATAAACAGTATCCTGTTTACTTTTACATTTATCATATAACCACTCCACGTAGCGTAGCACAGAAATTATGTTTTTCAGCTTGAGTTTAGCAAAGTTGAAATTTGAACTAGAGACTGAAGAGATACATGAAATAAGAATTAATAAAGTCAGTAGACATGTAGTTTGTCTGTTTCACTTTAATTCTTTGCCATTGCGATGTATTTAATTTAGTATATCATACTTGAATCAGGAAAAAAATCGAGGAATTTTGATTTGAGGTATTGTTACAACTTGTCATGTTTTGCACCGCACGATTCATCCTCAGTTGACATTTGATGTATATGGATTATCAGGAAGTTTCAAAAGGTGATATTTATTTTATTTTTGAAAGACAAAGCTATAAACAGCAAAATAGAACATGTGGTTGACATTTTGTTAATGTGTGTAAATAGGATTACAATACTTCACCTGGCGGGGACCAGGCTATCGATATATTGTTCACACATGTAATTAATTACTTTGGGGTAGGGGGTAAAAGTATATGTTGATTTTTTTACTGGAAGTGAGTTTTGATTAAAGGTCAATCAAATTATCAATTACATTTTTATAAGGAGAGGGGCCAATCTGACAAGTAATTTACTGTGTCACCATCATGAGTGTTGACATATTGTCAATTTTTTGGGATGGGTTTTGGCATTCAGCTGTTGGTATTTGGTGGTGAGTGTCTGTAACTAACGGCAGGTGGTGGCATTTTGTATGTTAATACCCTAGTATGTTTTCAAACAATAATACATTTTTGACATGGCCCCTTTGTGGAGAGATAAAAAAAAGTTATTGTTCTGTTGATGAATCCAAATAAAACAATAGCTACAAAAGAACTGAATGGATGCATGATATTTGACAAGTTTGAAATGTTTTTCTATTATTCGATGCAACTCTTTGGCATATAAGTCATGCAAGAGTAGGCTGTCCGATTGTTATAGGGAAAATATTGTGAAATTGCTCGTGTAGTATTTATTATTGATAATTTGATCTTAATAACTGCTAAAACTGATAGTAAACAGTTTGAAAATAAGTGACTTAAAGGATTTCAAGTGTGTAGCAATTTCAGGTAAAATTTCAGGTAAGATTTGATGCCACCAGTAAACTCAACAACATATTGAAAAACCCAAATGTTATGACATAATGCACAATTGATGCAATATTTTAATCGTGAATTTTTCTTATGTATTTCTAGGAGAATGGTGTCGATTCGGAGGCAGTAAACCTCACACAGAACCTTGCACATAGAATCAATGGAGAAATTTCAGATGATGAACTCGACACACCACAAGTAAGATTTTTATTAAATTCAATTGTATATATTCAATGAAACAAATACATTGCATTTGGTTTAAGAAAAAAGCACTGCAATCTCTTTCAAGTTGAACCAAGTCGGCACTGTATCTACCCTGAATTTTGAAAATGAGCTTGTACGGTACCAAATTGAAACTTATTTACACCCACTTGTAAATAAGAACATTTATTGAAATTTCCTATAGTTAGATCCCAGTTTTGTCAGTATTTTGAAAGTTAGAATTTTGCGCATGTCCCATTTGAGGAAGAAAGTTTTTTTTAGTAAAACTGATTTTTGTAAATTAAAACATTCCAATTTGACTCTATGTAAATGCTGCAGATGTACATGTTTGTATTTCTGTATGTCATGTAAGTAGATATAATGCGAGGAGGATAATCTGAAAGCCTGACAAATGGCTTTCCAGTTGTAGAACAGATTTAGAAAGTAAACAGCTATTAACTCTTCGCTCAGGGATTCAGATGTCATTTACAGCAGCACGGACCTTTGGCTGTAATTCAGCGATGACTTTAATCTATTAATGGATTGTAAACGGATTTCTGTGTTTACAAAATCTGATTAGACTTTTGTCATGTCTCATGTAAATGTATGATCGATGAAGTTTCCGCTCAGATGATGTGTATGTTTGTTTATTTATAACATAAACAGCTGCTGTATATAATGATTGATCAGCTATTGATCAACTGAAAACTCGCAATACATACATGTACTTCAATATGTCTGTTACATTACACGATATTTGCTTTGCTTTTATTCTTTCATCAGGAATGTAACATGCTGTTGATTTTTTAAAGTACAACATTTTTCTAAAAACCCGATACCATATTGGATATTTGTTCCAATAATGTTAATATAAGGCATATAGGCAGATTTTTGAAGATGTTTGAAAATATATTATATCTGTATATTAGCTATTTGTGTATTCATATTTTCTATAAACAATACATTATACAATTTATCGTATAATCATATTACTTTATATCAACAATTTTAAGTATTTCATGGGATTATAATGTCATACATGAATTAATGAATATGATTACCCTCATGTTTTATCTTATTAAATGTATTAATCGGTATTCATTTTTTTTTTTTTTATGGATTTTTTTTCTGATAGGTCAAACTGACCTTAATATTGACCTATATCACCGAACGTCATGGTCAGGGCATTGGTTAAGTACAATACGCAATAATGATCATTCCTAGATCGCAGGGGATTAAAGAGAGCAAATTTAATGAATAGTTCTATGGATACACGCAAGCAAGCCATCTCTGCATAAAGCATGTGGTTGCTTTCACTGAGTTAGCTATGTTTTTGTTTAATAAATAAAGTAGTTGTACTGATGATAATTAAAACATTCCAGTTGGTGCATTGGAAATTGAAGCTGCTCTTAGTAAGGAATACCATGGAAAATTGAGAAATATCTCAATGCCAATGCAGGATAAACAATTTATTCAATGAAAAACTCATGGATTAAAATAAGGGTTTATACAACACATATACTGTACAAACAAAAGAGATTTATAAGCGGATTAAAATCTTGATCGAAATACAAACATAATAAAAATTCAATCTGATGGTATATGTATATACATATTATTATTTTCTAGACAATACTGCAAACACCAAAGCTAGGAGTCAAAAAGAGTAAAAGCCCAGACCCAGCCACCACGATGATGACAATGAATGGCATGACCCCCCAGGCAATGCAGCAACTAATACAGCAGCAAGTCCTCTCCCCCCAGGGAATTCAGCAGATGATGCAACAACAGACTCTACTAATGTCACAACAGGTATGTAATAAATATCTTGCATAATGGGCACTTGTTCACAAAAATACGATATTTGGTACGCTAAAAAATATCTTGCATAATGGGCACTTGTTCACAAAAATACGATATTTGGTACGCTAAAAAATATCTTGCATAATGGGCACTTGTTCACAAAAATACGATATTTGGTACGCTAAAAAATATCTAGCATAATGGGCACTTGTTCACAAAAATACGATATTTGGTACTCTAATAAATATCTAGCATAATGGGCACTTGTTCACAAAAAATGTGATGTTTGGTACGCTAATAAATATCTAGCATAATGGGCACTTGTTCACAAAAAATGTGATGTTTGGTACGCTAATAAATATCTAGCATAATGGGCACTTGTTCTCAAAAAATGTGATGTTTGGTACGCTAATAAATATCTAGCATAATGGGCACTTGTTCACAAAAAATGTGATGTTTGGTACGCTAATAAATATCTAGCATAATGGGCACTTGTTCTCAAAAAATGTGATGTTTGGTACGCTAATAAATATCTAGCATAATGGGCACTTGTTCACAAAAAATGTGATGTTTGGTACGCTAATAAATATCTAGCATAATGGGCACTTGTTCACAAAAATACGATATTTGGTACGCTAAGAAATATCTAGCATCTTTTACGCTAGTTCTCAAAAATATCTGACATCTTGTACACTTGTTCTAAAATTGAGAAATAGTTGATATCATTTTTGCTGGTTCTTAAATACCAAGCCATCTAGTACACTACTTTTAAAGAATATCTTCCATCATGTAAGCCAATCAGACATGTAGGAAATGTCTAACATGTTATACGCTAGTTCTCAAAAATATGTATGACATCTGGTACACTAGTTCTAAAATTAAGAAATGTTTGATATCATGTTTGCTGCTTCTTAATTATCTTGGATGTTATACGCTAGTTCCTGAAAATATCTGACATCTTGAACACTTGTTCTAAATTTGAGAAATAGTTGATATCATTTTTGCTAATTCTTAAATATCTAGCATCATATACACTAGTCCTCAAAAATATATATGACATCTGGTACATTACTTTTAAAGAATATCTTCCATCATGAATAAAGAATATAGGCAGTGTGCATTTTTACCTCCTGTGAAATAACAAGTGGAATTTAGTAGTTGTTTTGTGTTTTATTATCATTCTGCATCGTAATTCTATGTGATGTGGTGTTGAAATGTCAGCAGAAATACATATCCATACGATAATCGAGTGAATCAGATAACAGATTTTTGGAAAACCCGTCTCGTGCTAAGAGTGTAAAAACTTGTATTAACATGCTCAAAAGTGCCAATGTGCACATCAATGTCAAGCTAAATCAATGTTGTGTCTAAAACAGGAACCTGATCTACTCAAAACAGCTTGTCATTCACGAATACACGCTTAGCAAATACGGCGAAATGATCTGAATCTTGGAAGTTCGTTCGAGAGCTAGTAATGTTTGCTCCGGTCTTCGTCATAAGTGTTCATCAGACTTCACGCATGCGCAGGAAAAAAACCATCAACCAATAACGTTTATAAATCAATTTTGCTCATGCGCCTTACAACAGTAAAGAAATTCGTATTTGTAAATGAACCAATTTGAGATAACCCGATATCAGTCGGAGAAATCTGACGATCTACGAAACTCACTTCAAGAAATCAAATGCAGACTGACGGCGTATTCTACTATGTTTGGATCTAAGATTTTCAGTATAGATAAAGTCTTTTATGATCTTTCGAAAGAGGTAAGTCTCTAGTTCAAAAGACGATCGTATCAACTTGAACAAAAGTTGAGTTTTGACGAAAAATTTTAACATGCGCAGAAGTCCCATTTTCGTTGTACCATATTGACTGCATTAGCTTATTGAATCAATTCTCATAATACCTTGAGTTTGGCAACTGAAAATATGTCCAGTAAAAGAAAATATTATCTGTCCAATACAGGAAAAGATATTTCATTTTTGAAGATTTTACAACATTTGCTTCATGGAGAATCTAGCTGACCTTGAAGTCACATTTTCAAACATTTCAAAGGTTGATATTAACAAACTTTAAAACTGGATTTCTAAATGTTATTTTGCTTGTAGATATTAGATCAAATATCATCATTTGACTAATGACCAAAATAGAGATAATTTCTACTTGCATCTAGTCTATTTTTACATGCATGTTTAGAATACACAATGATTACCCAATCATATTATTGTTTATGAACAATTTATTGTTATTTTGACATCGAACTTTCGACAAATACAAAAAGTGTTGCCTTGCAAACTGATTTAGTGCCTTATGAATTAAGGAAGTGAAAAGGAAAAACAATGATACAGGCAAACAAATTTATGTTTAATTAGTTACTAGTGCTTTTATAATTTTTTTGCCTTATTATGTAAACATCATTTCTATGTGACAAGGATATATATTAAGTACTTTATTTATTTATAACCAATTGTGTAACAACATTTCAAAGCTAAAGGAAGGATATCATTTTTTTATATGGATTCACTAATGGTATGTAATACTAAGTTCAGTTTATAGTAAACAAAATAATGAATTAAGAAACAATGAATTAAGGGGAGGTTCCTTACACATAAATTTCATATTTACTAAGAATAGAACTCGGTCTATAATAAACTAGCTCACGAACAAACTCTATAATAAACGAGCTCAATACACTAGCTCTATAATTCTAGCTCTCTGATTTACTAACTCTTTTATTAACATTCTCTCATATATACTAGCTCTCTGAAATACAGCCTTAGTATACAACATGTAGCTCTATGATAAACTCACTCTCTAATATACTAGCTGAAGGTAAGCTTAAAATGACCAGGATGGAAGGGAAGTTAGGTGACCGGGCACGTCATAAATCTGGTCATCAAAATTCCAGGAAAACTGCTTACCTGTTCAAGTTTTACAGATGCAAAAGCAGGCGTCCCATGATCTGTTTTGGGAATGCTGGCTAAATTACTCAGTGTTTTTTTTAAATTTTTGTATCTTGTTCTTGTTAGGAGGTGTTTACATTAATTTTTAAAGTGCTTGGGAGGGTCTATGAAAATTTAGAAAATAGTGTTCATATTTTGAGGTGTCAATACTAGAAAGTGTCACAGACTTTATTTACTATACAGTAATCTAGTGAAGAAGGAACTATTTTATCTTGGAAGAAATATGTCTGTAAAGTGAGAGTCAATGGAGAAATAGCAAAAGAAAAATATAAAATACATGATTATAAATTTACAATGTAATAATCGCTCAATGTAATACCAGATTGCATTCAGAAGTAATGTATATTACATTATTATCATCTCTATGCCACAAGACAGCTAGACTTGATTCCCATCTCATTGAAATAGAAAAAATCAAAAGTCTGTGCTTTTATTAACAGTTATTAATTATCTATGAGGGGGTATATCATAAAATAGTAGATTATTTTCTATAGATGTTTACTCTGTTTTCTATGTGTGAATTAACATCCGCTACTTATAAACCACTTGATGTAAATAACCAGCCCTCTGTATGGCCCTCTGCATGGCCCTTTAAAGCATTAGAAGAGGCAAAATTTATGGTGCATTGTGTCTCATAGACCATTCATCTTAAGGAATTATTGACTGATTTAACTGAGAAATATGCATGCGGCACATTTTTCTCCTGTTTCATTCTATATTGTGTTCAACAAGCGGATCCGACCTTCACCCATTTAAGATTTTAAAAACTAGGCATGCACCAACTTGAATATCTATTTGCACCAACTTGAAAATCATGAAAAATTGGCATATTTGAACCATCTACTTTGGGTAGAACTCCGAAAATGATAAGTAAGCGACCAAATGAGAAAATTTAGTCTGCCCTATATTTAGAGCTGAATTCAATTATATTTCATACCTGCATTCTGTATCGCTTATTATCAAAATATACTATCTCACAAAATACACTAGCACTCTTCTACTAATAAACTCACACTAGCTCATTGATATAATAGCTCTATAATAAATCAGCTCACTGATATAATAGCTCTATAATAAGCTAGCTCACTAATATAATAGCTCTATAATAAATCAGCTCACTGATGTACTAACTCTATAATAAGCTAGCTCACTAATATAATAGCTCTATAGTAAATCAGCTCACTGATATAATAGCTCTATAATAAGCTAGCTCACTAATATAATAGCTCTATAATAAATTAGCTCACTGATGTATAACTCTATAATAAGCTAGCTCACTAATATAATAGCTCTATAATAAATCAGCTCACTGATATAATAGCTCTATAATAAGCTAGCTCACTAATATAATAGCTCTATAATAAATCAGCTCACTGATGTACTAACTCTATAATAAGCTAGCTCACTAATATAATAGCTCTATAGTAAATCAGCTCACTGATATAATAGCTCTATAATAAGCTAGCTCACTAATATAATAGCTCTATAATAAATCAGCTCACTGATGTACTAACTCTATAATAAGCTAGCTCACTAATATACTAGGTCTATAAATAAACTAGTTCCCTAATATGTAGCTCTAAAATAAACTCACTAATATATTAGCTGCATAATAAACTAGCTTATACTCATACTAGCTCTATGATGAATTAGTTTACTAATACATAGCTCAATAATTAATTAGCTCACTATACTAGCTTAAGTTTGTTTGTGCTTGTCAGATGTTGCTTTTTGTGATCCTGGCATTAATGAGAGTGAAATATATTTATCAGAAAAACAATAAAATTAGTACACATATGTGTATATATCAATTAACTTAAGTAATTTATAATTAGTGCTCAGAATTATCCATGAATTCTATTAGCCCTTATATGGTCGTCTTTTTTACTACGTGACCAGATGCTATTTACGACAATAAATAATACAAATAATTCCATATGTTGCTCATATAAAACTTTAGTTCCATTTTTATAGCTGTTTTCAATATAAAGTTCAAAATGTTTGGAAATAAAATTTTATGTGTCAATCAAATTAATAAAATGGATGGTTTTGTATGTATATATGTTTGGTATATGTTGACATGATATGTATTTATGATTGTTATCTTATTGTTGTGTATTTTATGTTTCCATAGCAGTTTGTGGATGAATTAGCTCAGCTATTTCCTGTGGTTTGTAAGAGATGTTTGATTGTATGTGTGTGTTTGATTGTATATGTGTGTTTACTTGTATGTTTGTTGACTGATATTGAGTAAAGCACAGTCAACCTATAGGAAACCTCATGAGATACCACATTTATTCACTGTTTGCAGATATTGTATTTATTCTGTCATTACATCATGCAATTATAATCAAGAACAGTTATTCTTCATATATAAATAATTTGACATAATATTGGAAGTGAACGAAAGGGCTGAAAGCAATTATCGTTGATATTTGAATAGGTAAAGATATTTACTTCTCTTTTTAATTAAATGGAACACGAACCTTTGTATTATTATTCAATATTTATTCATATAATTAACATGCATTACTTTGTTGGTTTGTTGTTGACTCTGAGCGAGGTGAACAATTACGTGAGTTTATGATCCAAAATAATTTTAGGGTACTTTTATACATGTTTTATAAATTGATTGAATGATTTTGTGATCAAGTTTTATGAACTTACACAGAGAGCATAGATTATGACCAAAATTGATATATTTTTTAAATTTTATATTACCTTCAATTAAAATATTGCGCGGTATTATGGAAATTGAATCATATTGTTTTTCTCTTTGCGGAATTTTGAGAGCAAATTTAATTGTATATGCACATACAATAGAAGACTTGTCTGTAATACTTCAATCTACATACTGATTAATAGGACACATAAACTGATCAATAGGACACATAAAACTGTAATAATTTTGAAATATAAATAATATTGTCAACATTAGTAGATAGATAAACTGATGTATATAAACTGGACACATTCTGTATTTGTGAAACCTTGAACTTGACATTCTGATTAATGGATTCCAGAATATATAGATTTGAAATTATTTGTGGTTGTATTCTGAATTTTATTGTCAATATTTATGTTTATTTATTTATGCTTTTATCATTCAGTTGGTTTTATTATTTGATTAAATGAAATATTAACCAAAGGTTTCAGAATGTGTATACAATATGATATATTTATATCAACAGTATGTATTCATTATTGTATATCATGGTCTTCGATGTTCTATAATGCCATTTAAATTTATATTATTTTATTTAATATTTTTGTTTTTGATATCATATCTCAGGTTATGAAATTACTTCAAATCTAAATGACAAAATGGTCAATTTCCCATTTAAATGATTCCCAAACTCAAATATGCAAGATCTGTGAACGATAATACAAGGTGTTCCAAAAGTAACAGGGCTGGTATACTTTTGGAACACCCTGTATGTTTAAGTTAGTAACAATTTATATATTCTGAATTTGATTACAGGGTATGCAACACAAGCTACAAGAGCAGGTCCTGTGAACGATAATACAAGGTGTTCCAAAAGTAACAGGGCTGGTGTACTTTTGGAACACCCTGTATGTTTAAGTTTGTAACAATTTATATATTCTGAATTTGATTACAGGGTATGCAACACAAGCTACAAGAGCAAGTCTTACAACAGCTGAATGAGCAGCTACAGCTGAATGTTCTACAGCAGTCACAGCTGATGCAGCAAGCCAACTCAGACAAAACCAAAAACAAACAAATACAGGTGCCTTGAGAAGTTAATACTTTCTACTATAAAACACATTAAATTTAAATTTCTATTCCTGGCACAAATTCAGGCATTTTCAAATATTGAGAAAAAGACATGAGTATTTGAGAAGAAACAAATGTACAAATCTACCAAAATTGCTCCCGTAAATTCAATGTATTTTACAGTAACTAGTCATTTTAGACAAGTTGTTATTTTTAAATCAAATAAAATGTTACTGGATTTTCAACATAAATCCTAGAAAACCATGATTTCTTTTTTTCTACAATTGATAATTGGCTAATTACACCCAAGATGTTGTTTTGATAGTTTGACTTATTATTATGTTTTCTAGAAGCAATTAGCAGTTTCAATGCATTTTCTTTTGCGTCTTGCTGCTTGCATAAGTCAATCAAAATAAAATACATAACATATTTTTTGTTTTCATATTTTTGATCTATTTGTCTGATGTAAATTGTGCAATAGAAATCTCAACATCAGTCATTGTATATAATAGAAATCTCAACATGAGGCATTGTATGTAATAGAAATCCCAACATCAGCCATTTTATATAATAGAAATCTTAACGTCAGGCATTGTATATAATAGAAATCTTAACGTCAGGCATTGTATGTAATGTAAATCTCAATGTCAGCCTTTGTATGTTATAGAAACCTCAACATCGGCCATTGTGTGTAATAGAAATCTCAACATCAGCCATTGTATGTAATAGAAATCTCAACGTCAGCCATTGTATGCAAAAGAAACCTTAATGTCAGCCATTGTATTTAATAGAAATCTCAATGTTAGCCATTGTATGTAATAGAAATCTTAATGTCAGCCATTGTATGTTTTAGATGCAGTTACAACAATTGGGTATCCAGCAGCAACAGCTGGTGCAGCAGATACAACTCCAACAGAGACAATACCTAATGTCACAGGGCCTAGGCATGCAACCAATGGTAGCCCAAGGTAAGGCTTAGTTGTAAAGAACAGAGACAATACCTAATGTCACAGGGCTTAGGCATGCAACCAATGGTAGCCCAAGGTAAGGCTTAGTTGTTAAGAACAGAGACAATACCTAATGTCACAGGGCTTAGGCATGCAACCAATGGTAGCCCAAGGTAAGGCTTAGTTGTTAAGAATAGAGACAATACCTAATGTCACAGGGCCTAGCCATGCAACCAATGGTAGTCCAAGGTAAGGCTTTATTGTTAAGAACAGAGGCAATACCTAATGTCACAGGGCCTAGGCATGCAACCAATGGTAGCCCAAGGTAAGGCTTTGTTGTTAAGAACAGAGACAATACCTAATGTCACAGGGCCTAGGCATGCAACCAATGGTAGCCCAAGGTAAGGCTTAGTTGTTAAGAATAGAGACAATACCTAATGTCACAGGGCCTAGGCATGCAACCAATGGTAGCCCAAGGTAAGGCTTTGTTGTTAAGAACAGAGACAATACCTAATGTCACAGGGCCTAGGCATGCAACCAATGGTAGCCCAAGGTAAGGCTTAGTTGTAAAGAATAGAGACAATACCTAATGTCACAGGGCCTAGGCATGCAACCAATGGTAGCCCAAGGTAAGGCTTAGTTGTTAAGAATAGAGACAATACCTAATGTCACAGGGCCTAGGCATGCAACCAATGGTAGCCCAAGGTAAGGCTTAGTTGTTAAGAATAGAGACAATACCTAATGTAACAGGGCCTAGGCATGCAACCAATGGTAGCCCAAGGTAAGGCTTAGTTGTTAAGAATAGAGACAATACCTAATGTCACAGGGCCTAGGCATGCAACCAATGGTAGCCCAAGGTAAGGCTTAGTTGTTAAGAATAGAGACAATACCTAATGTCACAGGGCCTAGGCATGCAACCAATGGTAGCCCAAGGTAAGGCTTAGTTGTTAAGAATAGAGACAATACCTAATGTCACAGGGCCTAGGCATGCAACCAATGGTAGCCCAAGGTAAGGCTTAGTTGTTAAGAATAGAGACAATACCTAATGTCACAGGGCCTAGGCATGCAACCAATGGTAGCCCAAGGTAAGGCTTAGTTGTTAAGAATAGAGACAATACCTAATGTCACAGGGCCTAGGCATGCAACCAATGGTAGCCCAAGGTAAGGCTTAGTTGTTAAGAATAGAGACAATACCTAATGTCACAGGGCCTAGGCATGCAACCAATGGTAGCCCAAGGTAAGGCTTAGTTGTTAAGAATAGAGACAATACCTAATGTCACAGGGCCTAGGCATGCAACCAATGGTAGCCCAAGGTAAGGCTTAACTGTTAAGAACAGAGGCAATAACTAATGTCACGGGGCCTAGGCATGCAACCAATGGTAGCCCAAGGTAAGGCTTAACTGTTAATAACAGAGACAATACCTAATGTCACAGGGCCTAGGCATGCAACCAATGGTAGCCCAAGGTAAGGCTTAGACAATACCTAATGTCACAGGGCCTAGGCATGCAACCAATGGTAGCCCAAGGTAAGGCTTAACTGTTAATAACAGAGACAATACCTAATGTCACAGGGCCTAGGCATGCAACCAATGGTAGCCCAAGGTAAGGCTTAGTTGTTAAGAATAGAGACAATACCTAATGTCACAGGGCCTAGGCATGCAACCAATGGTAGCCCAAGGTAAGGCTTAGTTGTAAAGAATAGAGACAATACCTAATGTCACAGGGCTTAGGCATGCAACCAATGGTAGCCCAAGGTAAGGCTTAGTTGTTTAGAACAGAGACAATACCTAATGTCACAGGGCCTAGGCATGCAACCAATGGTAGCCCAAGGTAAGGCTTAGTTGTAAAGAACAGAGACAATACCTAATGTCACAGGGCCTAGGCATGCAACCAATGGTAGCCCAAGGTAAGGCTTTGTCATTAAGAACAGAGACAATACCTAATGTCACAGGGCCTAGGCATGCAACCAATGGTAGCCCAAGGTAAGGCTTTGTCATTAAGAACAGAGACAATACCTAATGTCACAGGGCCTAGGCATGCAACCAATGGTAGCCCAAGGTAAGGCTTAGTTGTAAAGAACAGAGACAATACCTAATGTCACAGGGCCTAGGCATGCAACCAATGGTAGCCCAAGGTAAGGCTTAGTTGTAAAGAACAGAGACAATACCTAATGTCACAGGGCCTAGGCATGCAACCAATGGTAGCCCAAGGTAAGGCTTTGTCATTAAGAACAGAGACAATACCTAATGTCACAGGGCCTAGGCATGCAACCAATGGTAGCCCAAGGTAAGGCTTAGTTGTAAAGAACAGAGACAATACCTAATGTCACAGGGCCTAGGCATGCAACCAATGGTAGCCCAAGGTAAGGCTTTGTCATTAAGAACAGAGACAATACCTAATGTCACAGGGCCTAGGCATGCAACCAATGGTAGCCCAAGGTAAGGCTTTGTCATTAAGAACAGAGACAATACCTAATGTCACAGGGCCTAGGCATGCAACCAATGGTAGCCCAAGGTAAGGCTTAGTTGTTAATAACAAAGACAATACCTAATGTCACAGGGCCTAGGCATGCAACCAATGGTAGCCCAAGGTAAGGCTTAGTTGTTAATAACAGAGGCAATACCTAATGTCACAGGGCCTAGGCATGCAACCAATGGTAGCCTGAGTTAAGGCTTAGTTGTAAAGAACAGAGACAATACCTAATGTCACATGGTCTATAAGAGGCATACAACCAATGGTAGCCCAAGGTAAGGCTTAGTTGTTTAGTTGTAAAGAACAGAGAGGTGCATGCCCTCTTTGTCATATTGAAAGCCATTTGAGCGAAAGGAGGTTACATGCAAGAGTTCATATCAGCCAAACTGTACATTGCACTTTCTCACACATATCTCACACAAGACAGATACATTGATAGAAATTGGAAAACAAATCGAGGGATCAAAAATATTCAAAAACAGGACTGAAAATAAACAAACTAAAAATTATTTGTAATTTCAAATTCATATTACTAAACAAAATTAGAATTAATTTTCAAATTTCACTTTTGATGTTTTCTAGGCATGAGTCCCGCAGAAATGGCTGCATTGTGGAAAGAAGTATCTGGCCAATCAGGTGCAGATGAGAACAAAAGCCCAATTTCCAGTTCTATGGGAATGACGATGTCTCCATCTTTAGCGAGTATTGCCCCAAGTGGAATCTTGATGGGACAGAACCCACTTGCTAATGGACTCCATGCAGGGTACATGGGCTTAGAAGGTATGTATGATACAGACTTTATATAGGAAAACCTGTCTCGTTGAACACAACTGGGAAGGCAAAATTGTTCAGATATTAGCAGGTGTTCAGGGTTCTTACCGTGATAGTCAATGGCAGTTTACAAAATTTGGACAGGAAAAACTGTTCACACTGAGACTCAACCCTACCTTAAACTCTATAATTTAAGATTGCCAATTCTCCACATTTTTATGTGTCTCAATTATTTCAAGTATTTTTTCAATGCTGGAAATTAGATTTTGATTTTCTTGATTTAATTTGTTTGAGAAGCAATACTTGCATATTTGGTATTCTTTAACTTCTCAGAGCACTTCAATGAATAAAGTAATATAAACAAATTATGGGCATGTTTGTTGTATCAAAAATAATTCCCAGCTTTATAAAAAATATTTCATTTTGAACCTTCACTGACAAATATCTGCATTACAAATGGAACTGTTACATTTATGTTTCAAATTTTGCATCTGTTTTATAAGTGTCACAATCAATTTTGATGGACATATTTAACATACGCTTTTTCATTTATCAAAATGCATACAGTAAATATGATCTGTTGATGCGATAATGATTGGATCAACATATCATATGACAATTTAATGAAATATAACAATCTTTAAGATATTTTAGTATGATATTGATCGATTGACAGTTTTATTAAAATCATCAATTGGATGACAGTTGCATAAGATTCACAGTTATTGCAATAGCCATGCTTACCAAAGTAGACTACCATTGAATAACTAGTTGTATTCAACGCTTCCAGGAATTTTCAGAATGAATTTATTTCAAGATTATAATCATGGCACATGAACAGCATCCATAGTGTCTCCCCTCTGTCCTTAGTACCATCTCTTCTTTCACCCTCTGTCTTTACAACACTTTACTACACCCTTGTATTTTGTACCTCTTCTCCTTTCACCCTCTGTCCTTAATACCCATCTCCTTTCACCCTTGTCTTTTGTACCTCTTCTCCTTTCACCCTCTGTCCTTAATACCCATCTCCTTTCACCCTTGTCTTTTGTACCTCATCTTCTTCACCCTCTGTCCTTAACACCCATCTCCTTTCACCCTTGTCTATTGTACCTCTTCTCCTTTCACCCCCTGTCCTTAATACCCATCTTCTTTCACCCTTGTCTTTTGTACCTCTTCTCCTTTCACCCTCTGTCCTTAATACCCATCTCCTTTCACCCTTGTCTTTTGTACCTCTTCTCCTTTCACCCCCTGTCCTTAATACCCATCTTCTTTCACCCTTGTCTATTGTAGTATGCTTCACCCTCTGTCCTCAGAACCTCCTGTCTTGAATTCTTCCTGTGAGATCATTTCTGATTATCATGTCTAGCTTTTGTTATTATCACATCTAGACTTCTTATGTACTTATTAATATGTTATGTGTTTTAGTTATTTTGTTGTGGCATTTATTAAAATCATTTCACCCCCTCTCTTTTCTCTAATTCATCATTTTATTCTCAAATACACTATAAACCTGAATAGTTAGTTACACATTGTATGTTTCATCATAGACTACAATATGTAGTCGATTATTCCAAATAAACCATCTATTGCAGTTATGAATGCTACATTAACTATTTTAACTTAATCTGTACATGCATGTATATTTTATATATGTACATTTTGCCACAGCTTTGTGCCAATTCACAGATACTAGTATATTGGCATATATGATTAGAACATATTTTAGACTTTTAGATTTGGTTCTTTTCCCATGTATCCAGAGATACTTTGTGACATCTAAAAAGTGGTATAGAATCAAGATAATGTTTAAGTTTAATTGAAGCTAGGTTGTTTTCCAAATACATTAATGCATACCACACTCTAGTGCCATAATACTCAAATTAAAAAACATAATTTTTTTCAGGATTTGTCATTCAATATTTAGAATTCTTCAGGATTTGTTATTCAGTACATGAAACATTTGTTTAATATTTAATATGATGGCTGCATATTGAACGAAAAATCCTGAAGAATTTCATATTATTTTAATAGCTTCATAAAATAATTCTTGTGATGTGATATTCATTATGCATTTCAAGATTAATATCATAATATCAAAAGATTAATATCATAAAATATGGAAGAATCTCCATGCAGGTAATTCACATATAATATTAAGGTAGGCAGTAGACACTATGCAGTATGCGGGTCTATGCGTATGCAAGTCAATGAGTATGCAAGTCTGTGTGTATGCAAGTCAATGAGTATGCAAGTCTATGTTTATGCAAGTCAATGAGTATGCAAGTCTGTGTGTATGCAAGTCAATGAGTATGCAAATCAATGAGTATGCAAGTCAATAAGTATGCAAGTCAATAGGTATATAAGTCAATGAGTATGTAAGTCAATGAGTATGCAAGTCAATGTGTATGCAAGTCAATGAGTATGCAAGTCAATGGGTATATAAGTCAATGAGTATGCAAGTCTACCAGTATACAAGTCAACAAGTATGTAAGTCAATGAGTATATAAGTCTATGAGTATGCAAGTCAACGAGTATGCAAGTCTGCCAGTATGTAAGTCAACGAGTATGCAAGTCTGTGTGTATGCAAGTCAATGAGTATGCAAATCAATGAGTATGCAAGTCAATAAGTATGCAAGTCAATGGGTATATAAGTCAATGAGTATGTAAGTCAATGAGTATGCAAGTCAACGAGTATGCAAGTCTGTGTGTATGCAAGTCAATGAGTATGCAAATCAATGAGTATGCAAGTCAATAAGTATGCAAGTCAATGGGTATATAAGTCAATGCGTATGCAAGTCAACAAGTATGCAAGTCAACGAGTATGCAAGTCAATGTGTATGCAAGTCAATGAGTATGCAAGTCTACCAGTATACAAGTCAACAAGTATGTAAGTCAATGAGTATATAAGTCTATGAGTATGCAAGTCAACGAGTATGCAAGTCTGCCAGTATGTAAGTCAACGAGTATGCAAGTCAACGAGTATGTAAGTCAATGAGTATGCAAGTCTGCCAGTATGTAAGTCAACGAGTATGCAAGTCAACGAGTATGTAAGTCAATAAGTATGCAAGTCTGCCAGTATGTAAGTCAACGAGTATGCAAGTCAACAAGTAGTATATGTGTAGGATCCAAGATAAAGAGCCAGATCAGATACTGTATTCTACTTGTTAACTGCTTTAATTGGAAATTGCAAAAGTTGAAACCTTATAATAGCACCCTGAAGTCTCAGGTACACCGGTTCTTGGACCCTAGTAAATGTAGATGAAGGTCTCTTTTAAAGAAGCAGATTTAAACTATTTGAAAGAATAGAGTCTCATGTGAATTATGGAAACTATTTCTTTCTGTTGTTTACAGTTAAATCACAACTTGCACATCATCAACTCATTTCCCATTAGCTTTTACTCTGTGTTGTCATGGAAACTGATTCTTCTGTTCACCCTACAAGATGCTCCTAGGGTCATTAACTAGTTCGTTTTCTTATATTGATGACGCTACATGTGATCAGGTGTGATATAGTTATTTAATAGATGATATATATGGACATGAATATGAAGGCAACCTTATTTCAGACTAATTAGAAATAAATGGTTCAATTCTTGCATTGAACTGAGTGAAAGGGGAAGAACTCAATACAAGGTCTGTGAATGTTCTACCCTTTTCAAGAGGTATCGCCTTCCCACACTCTTTATTACATCAATAAACTCTTTGAACTCATTGAACCAATCGACCAGTTACCTTCAAATATATATCTTTATTTATGTAAAACTATAAGCATGTCTCTTTGGTAATTTTTGGTAACACCAAAATATAGAATGATTGGTTTTACTCAAAGGGTATTTCACTAGCTGATTGGCCTTGGGTGTTCTTATTGGTTAGGGGCGAAGCTTTCTTTTAAAGAATCATAATAAAACTATTGGTAAATATAAAGTGTGTATATGTACATTATATATGATATATATGTTTTAAAAAAAAAGTGAGAGAAAATATGAAATGTCTAAAATCCAGGTTTATTGGTTTTGATTGGTATTTAAACCACTCAGTGATTTATCGACCTCACGTTGATACTTTTTTCAATGTATATCATTGAGAGTTCAAATAAATTCTGCAATCTAACCATGTTTATCTATAAGTGTTTATTTATCAAACACATAAATAAAGTAAAAATACAATCTTTTCTGAAGTTGTTTGCTTATATAGAGTCAGTATAGACTCAAGGCTACTGGCCTTATTTATTAACATGTACGTCTTATTTAAAGGGAGAATCAGATACAATCAGCAACTGTTCCAAAATTTCTGACTTATATATATTATTTAAAGAATTACTTATTTCTGCATCCTAAATTTGTCTTCTATTTGATAAAAATATAGTGGGTCCTTTTTGAGATATTAATTTGGGTTGCGTAAAGATCACATATAACAATTTGTTTGATGTTACCATGGCGTCAGCAATTTTCTTACCCCTCAATCTATGATGCTACCTTTAATTATTTTTATTAATCATTTTATTTCAAATTCATTCATTCATCATTTTGTGACGTACAATGAAAATTCAACAAAGTTAACCAATTTAACATTTGTGTTTGATTTCAAAGTAAATATACAACACAATTTATTTCAAAGTAAATATACAATTCATAAACAAAATGCTACTTTTAGTAACCACCGTATCATCATCATTAGAGGATTTATATTCAGTTTATAGTTTTATTACACCTGTTCTATTCATGATCTGAATCTATCAGTTGTTAACTTTAGGATTATTTTATTGTGCTTTATACTAATTAGTTTTTCTAGATCTGATTCAGAATAGGAACATAGATGGATATCGTGTTTCAAAAAGAGTTAACTGTCAAGGTTATGTTAAGATAAAAAATAATATGAAAAAAGAAAACATATAAAGTAGATCAAATGGTAAATATTATCTCCAGACAACTTCTGGTCTTGCATATACTGGTACATATACTAAATGTGATCCATATAGAAATGGCAAGAGAGAAAGAGAGAAAATTTAGGTAGCATGGGTGGGAATGAATGAAAAGGCACTCTTTTGTTGAAAGTACCTGAAACAACCCAAGTATAACCCAAAAATGAAAATATTCAAAATGATGATACTGTATTCAAATCACATGTACTGTTATGATATTAATAAATACTGAGAATTATTAAAGCATTTTGTTTAAGAAAATAATAGAAGATATAGGAAACCCGGAACCTTCTCTAGAATCTGTCAGCCCGTGTTAAAGAGATAACATCATTCAAAGATCAAAGTAATAGTAAATAAGCTTAGCAGGAACAAAAGCAACATCAATATGAAGAAGCAACCCTTTTCAAGAGTCGGAATCTATGTTTTAGAAAAAAACTTGATCGACACTCTTAAAATAAAAGATAAACTTTTGATCTAGTATTATATTAGCTAATCAGATTGGGAAGATCAAAATTAAGCTACTCGAAGTATTAATTGCAATCACAGATATGGATGGCTTATAAGCAGCTCAGATGTAGATCTTATCAGCCTCAAAACTATTATTTATTGGAGTCAGAGAAAGTGATTGTTACTTCTAACCTATTGGGCCTCAGGGTACTAAGTGGCTTGAATGAAAAACAACACAGTCTGACACAATTTCATTTCAGGGATTCTGGGTTGATTTATGTGCTATTATTGCATTTTATGCGTTCCTTTTCCCAAGCAGCATGTGTTTAATCAACTCACAAATAACATAACAATGCAATCTGTGTATAAACTTATACCATGCACTGGAATATTGGCAATTTCATAATGATGCTTTAAAATTATGTAGATTATGAGTCACTTTGTGTGATGAACTTATGAACTGATTTTGATAACTAGGATAATTCAGTATATAGGAATACCATATAGTTCAGTTGTTTCTTATATTTTTTATTTTATTTGTTGAAATAAATGTCAGTTGGGAATTTGACCATAATGAGCGCCAGTGATGCCATAGGAGAAAATCTACTTGGTGAAAATCATGTACAGTAAAACCTGAGAGAGCAGAACACCACTGGGATGGATCAAAAGTGTTTAGAATAGCAGGTGTTCACATTTCAAGGTTTCTTAATAGGGCGTCAATGCGAGTCAAGATTGGGACCAAGAGAAAGTGTTTATATTGAGAGGTGTTTGTATTATATAGGTGTTCAAATATACAGGTTGTACTGTAGTATCGCAAAAAATATAAACATATGTGATGGTGTGGCACTTTCCATGTATTGGGAATGTGCTATATTTACTGGAAGTTATAATCTATCATTTTAGCTTTTGCTCTATTGTGTCTGATTAATAGGACAAAAATATTGGATTCAAATAAGTTTATTAAAAGTCATTGCCAAGTTGAATAAAAATCAATTATTTACTTTTGTTTTTGTAAACAAGGCCAGTTACAAATGTCCATATTTGTAGATGTCTGGGTGTTCTGAATAGAAATTGGGACTATTGATCATTGATCATTATATCTATAAATTCTACATGTATGACCCTTTGCAAAAAGACTGATTTTACAAACTCTTAAGATGAGTGATAAACCTCCCCAAGTCAGTACCTGTTTTTTGTTAAGCTGCAGCTATTTCTGTACATAGATGTGTGTTGAAATGAGTGTAAGCATATTTAATACAGTCTTCAGGTCTTTGATCAGTTAAATGTAAATCTGTAAAATGATTTGTTCTACCTAGTCAGCGTATTGACGACCTTGGAGAAATACATATGCAGGGTAAGCTCTTGCAATTCACATTTTCTGTTGTTTATTATTTACCCCTTACAAGAACCCGATATCATATTAACACACTTAAAATATAGAAAATTGTTTTGTTTTGTGTTAAGTCTGTATCTATTCGAACTATTATCACTTCCCACTTATTTTCAATTCTCATCCAAACTCTAATTTATCAGGCCTTGGCAGCTACTTTTTTAATCAGCATCAAAATAAAATCATCAGTTATACAGAGAGGAAAGCGTGGTTTGCTGAGAGGAATTAAGAGTATGTGTATTTGTTAGGTATTGACTGAAATCTAGGTTCTAACACTGCAAGGGAAATTATGTTGTTTACTGCCGCTCAACAGAAGTAGCTACTGACCTGACCCCAGAAAAATAACAAGTTGTTTACAGTGCTGCAGAAAAATGAGCTGTTAGTCCTTGATATAGGAGTCATTATAGCTATGAAGGCAGTCGGCAATCAGAGCTTGGTACATAAAGATCACAAAATGATAAGTTGCTTCTGACCATGGTCGGATGTAAAATAGATGGAGGAAAGAGTGTACACTATTTAAAGATAATAGATGGCCAAGGTCCAGCTAAAGAGAATACTGAAGATCACATATTTGTTGAAAACTGTCTGGCTCAGGGACCTTCTAGAACTGATAGGGAATTAGACCATTGGTACCATGATGATAAAAAATATGTTAAGAGAAATTACAATTGTGTTGGTGGCATTGAAAAACACACCAAGGAACTAACGAAGTCTGGGATTGATAAATTGGACCTGTTACTTAGACCACTTTATATTGATATACCCAAGGAAGACTTGGCCTGTTCTAGTGACAGTGCACATCCAGTAAAGGACTTTGGTGTTTTAGGTGAACAAAATCTAAAACAAGATACTACATTCGTAAATATTAATCGAGACAATATTATGGATCATTGTGCGGAGTCCAGCTCAATGACAAATATAAATATTATGGATAGTAAGATAAGAACTTGTTTCAGAGAATCTTTTGAAATGGCTAATCATATGTCTCCCATACAGATCTCATCACATAACAGTGGCGCCCCCTTTAAGCCACGTAGAATGAGGGAGTATTCTTCTTCATCGACAAGCTCGGCAGAAGAAACATTGCAACATCCATATCAGCAGCAGTCGCCATCTACCTCTGCAGATTTGAATTATAAAGCCCAGGATGCATCGAGAATGAATTTGCCAAATGGACAATTAAATCACATTGCAGTGTCGAACTACTCACATTTAACGAGCATGTTAATGCGTTCTAATCCAGCGACGTCTAGTACTATGACAGGTTATCTCGGTTACCCTAGGGATTCTCCATTCTATAAGCCTCTATTAACAAATCTTGATTTAAAACATAGTGATCAAACAAGAATGTTACATGGAGCACCTAAAGATGGCAGCACTTCACCTACAGATCCAGTGCCCAATTTAACTCTTTCATCTTCTAGCATATCTTCTACTGAGCTAGTTTCAAATTCTGCTCATAATTTGTCATCAGTTGCTCAAACTGTATTAAGCAGCAGTAGTCTAGGAGTTAATACAACTGACACATCGAGTACGAGCCCAGAGCGATCTCTTTACCCTCAGCTCTTAAATCCCTATAGTAGTATGGATTTAGGGGGGTACTCCGTAGGATACAACCATGCTATGGGATTATACCAAGATTTGGGACTATCTCAGACGCTACGTGTAAACCCTATAGATTTAACAGCTAATATGTGGCGGTTACCTTTTCTATCTTCAGGAGGACTTTTAGGGCCAATGGCACAATCCATGAAAGATGCCGAGAACAATCATACTCATCCCTTATATGGTCATGGGGTCTGTAAATGGCCGGGCTGTGACGTTCCCGCAGATGATTTCCCAGCATTTATGAAGTAAGTATCTTAATAGTTGTTTTTTCTATTCTTATATTTCATTTGTTTTAAGTTAATGTACATGTCAGGAACTATTTTTAAGATTCTCTTCTGTTATTATTTTTTTTACAAATGCCTATAAGTGTAAGTGAAAGTTAAAACATGTATAGTGGCAGTTTAGATTTTTGAAATTTGAGCTATTCTAAATAAAATAACTCCCATTACCTCTCTGTATTTTCTGTTTGTTTAAATATATTTGTTATTAATTTATTTGCAATTAGATGGATTTTTTATTTTATTTTAACTGACACTCGTTGAGGGTCAAGTAAATATTTATTTTGCATTGATATTGATCAAACTGTATTTACAAAATGACAACAAATGTTGTATGTTGTCATGTTTGTCACTAATGAAAGTGTGTATCACTCTTGAGAAACTAAACACAATCCTCAGTTTTGTTGTTTTAATTTTATTATTTCATGGAGAATGCAGAAGGTGAATATTTTTTTTTAGATTAGCTGGAAGTTTTTATTTATTTATTCCATTTCAAAGTAAATTTTGATGAAAGAAGAGGTAGGGCAGCTTTGAATAAAAAGTAATTAAACAGATGTGAACTAATTTAATGTCCTTGAAAATACAATCAACATTGAATGACTTTTTTATACATAAGAAACTGCTTTAATTTGATATAAGGAATTAGTCCTGAATTAGATGTATAAGTATGCATTTGGGTAATTTTAGGAATTCTTGACCAAAAACGATATATTTTATCCATTTTTATTGTTTGACCCATTTTCCTAAAGTAATACAGTACATCAGATGCAGATGCCACATGCATCCACTGCTCATGTCAATATTTGATATCAATTCATCAATAAAAATGATACTCATCTCTAAAATGATCTGATATTTTATCTATGTTACATTCACCTATTTTTCATACCTCATTTCACTACAGTGACAATGTCAGCTCTCTTAGTCTAGAGAGTACATTTGCTGGACTCAAAAATGGTGTCAAGGTTCTGTCTGAAGGTCTGTCCATTAAATATGTGTTTAATCTAGGCAGTTTTTAAGTGTACTACCCCTTCAAAAAGTATAATGTCCCCTTTTGCACGAGGCATATCATGTAAAACAAAATACAGAGGAATTCTGAAAAATTGAAGTTGATCAAAACAAGAAGTTTAGATTTTTAATTTCATAAGTTAATGCAACATCAAAATTATTTTGAAATGAATGATAACTCAAGCTGATAATCTAGCACAAATTCTTGACTTGAATTTAGTTGGTAAGGAAGTCACCTTGTGTGAACCCAAATAAACATTGGATTTTAAAGAAGGCAACCTCATTCTGGATTTTATTAATACATGTATTATGTTCTTTTCTTTAGCTCTTTTTGAAAAATTTAGAAAAGAATTTAGAAAAGATAACCTCATATATTTAGGATCATTTAATATTTTTATTATTACATTATAGTTGCATTTCCATTTAATATCATTGTATTGTAATTTATTTTCTAATTTCAGTGGTTTTACAATATTTCTGGATTTTTACCAGGTTTTAGTTCTTATAGTTCTTAACGTGTTAAAGGTCTCTATATTTTTATATACGAGTATGGTACTCCTTATTTAGAACCTTGCAAGTAAATAGCTTAACAGATGGTACCCACTAAACGGCCTTGTCGGAACTATTTTTTAACTCTAATTAATGTTCTCAATTAAAACTACATAACCGTTAAATTTAATTACACTATTTGTGCATATCTTATGGAGAATTTAGAAATAAGATATCGCTAACAAATGTCACTTTTGGCTAAGCCTTTTTGATTAAAAAAATCAATTTTGTGCTTTTTGTTTAGATCGGCAATTAATAAAGCAAATAACAGTTGGTTGATGATTCTTTATTAAAAGAAAGACGAAAATCGTTATCAGACCATTTTTATATTAATTCATTTCAATTCAGAATTCAAAGTCTCACTTTTATGAGCTTGGTCGGAACTATTTTATTGTTCTATTTTTTCAAATTTGTAATTTACATCACAAAGAACTCCTCGGTAATTGCTCATGAGTGTAAAACAGTAAAAGATAAACATTGCTTGAGCATGAATAAACAAAACCATCTGGGATTGTTGATAACAAAATTTCCCAATCGGGCTTGTCTAAATAATGTCAAATGCTTTACAATGTTCTGTTACTTATTTATCAAAAAAATCAATACAACAAACATTTTCCGGGCCTTTTGAGAATTAATAAAAATAAATTATTTGGAGTGTTCAGCTTGTATTGGGAAGCATAGTCTGTAATGTATTGATTTACGTCATTTGTATATGTACAAATAGGAACAACTGACACGTTGATTGTTTAGGTCCTGTTTCTTGTTATTTAAACAACTTGTTTCTCCATTCTTTTCCCACATGATTGTTTGAATATGAAAACGGTTTATTTTTCTATTTTTGTAATTTGAATTGTTTAAATGTCATAAGATGTTTATTTATTTGGATACTAATCTTTTGAAGCAGTGTTGCACCTATTGATTACTTCCATTGTATTTACTTTCAGATTTTATATATGTGTAAAATGTACATCTAATTTTTTCCCTTAATTTGTTATGTCTGTAATTCTCATCAGGGTTCTTTATTTGTCACAATAGAATTGTTTCCTCATGAAAAACATGTTTTTTCGTAAAATATAGAATTTACTGCAAGAATTACATTCATAAGATACGAAATAACAACTAATAAAAATAACTTTTAATTATCTGTCTACATGCGGTTTATTAACACTAAATGACATGATATATATATAGTATATTATTATAGCTATATATTTGTCTGAAAAATAAAAACAGTTTCATTTTTTGCTTCCAGACATTGTCTCAAAAGATACAAAATTTGATTGTCTAATATAGCCAATCTATCGTAATATATTCAGAACTTCTATCATGAAACAATCAAAGGTTAAAACCCTCCATGCAGTATTTGTTCAATGGTAATTATATTCAATAAAAGCAACTTTAGACTTGAATCTTTTCTATAAAACATAAATTGAACCATAAAGGTTCAAGAGCAAATAGTGCCATAAATCTGATTAATATCAAGATAAATAAATATTCAGCCAATGAAATGTGCTAGGGGAATTTTTTTATTACAGATGCATTAGACAAAGCAGCATATTTGGAGCCTTGACCTAGAAATCATACCCCATTATCCCAAAACCCGTTAAAACATTAACCAGATTCAATAAATTTCAATAAAATTCCAAATATAAAACCACAGTATTTGATAAATGTTGATATGTCTCACATAAAAATCACATCTCTTAATAAACTATTATGTTCGGGATAGCTGTTTTGAAAGGGATATCCACTTAAGTCGCAACACGTCAGTTATTTTACGGAAAGGAAATGCATTTTGCAGCACTGTTTACTGCAGTACAAATACGCTAAATGGAACACTGTTGACTCTAGCTTAACTGTAGACAGCATATTAATTTAAATATCCATTTGTGAACCACTGTTGCTAAGTGTCCAGAAACTCCTCGTGTTATTTGCTATATTTATTCTGTTTTCTCATTTATCATAAAGTGGGTGCAATTTATTCGTAATATGAATCCTCATCCATTAAGAATTAAGAGAAAATAAAAGATGGGGTAAAGAAAAAACAACAAAGGGTGAACAACATTATGTGGCTTAGAAAACTGACAATATAGTTTATAAATAAATATATGAGAAATTACATGCACAAGGGCACACTGATCTTTATAACAAAAAGAAGAAGGACTTTAACCTGTTGGGAATATGATGTTAGCTAGAGGTTAATGAAAAACAAATTTACCTCAATGCAATAATGATGCCACCTTTAAATCGATATTTCTGATGATTGGCTTTATAGCTGTGAATTCTTTTCCATCAGCAACATTATAAATAGGGTTGAACAGATCCCTATATCATTCATAGTTTACCTTTTTTGGCCATTGGATTGACTAGGTTGATTCTGTGGACCATTTATTTAGCTGTTATAGATTTTATATTTTCTTTAAGGGCTATACATTATTTTAAACTATGAATGAAGTATGGCTGGAGAAAGATCCAGGCAAAGAATTTCCAAGCTTAGAACACATAATCACAATATTTTATTCTCATATTACAGACATTTAAACAATGAACATACATTGGATGACCGAAGCACGGCACAAGCGCGGGTTCAGATGCAGGTCGTGAGCCAGTTAGAGATACAGCTGGCAAAGGAGAGAGAGAGACTGCAGGCAATGATGGCACATCTGCACATGAACCAACAAGCCCAACAGCAGCAGAAACAACAAGAACTACAGCAGCAACAGGCTAAAGAGGCAGCTGTATGTTCATATATTATTATTTCGCATGTTCTAGTTCTTCCTGTAAAATACAAAATTATGTTTCATTGTCTCTGACCTTATTATATGAAGAACGGTTTCTTTTGGGTGATTCGATTGTTAAAAACAGAGGTTACAGAGGTCTGAGGTAAAAAAAAAAGAAACGTTTGAAGAAAAAAATTGTTCGAATAATAAGAATGAAGCAATGAAACATAACTTAAATCATACTCACCAGATGAACAGATTAAGAGGTGATGGAAATTTGACTTCTTCCTTCACCTCTCTGTCTAAACTAGAACTGTGCACTTTTAGAGAACAGTCTATTTGTTTAACAATAAAGGCGACCTGATACGTACGCCACGTGACGCATATTCAATTTCTGATATTTTTTCAGTCTTCAGATTGTCACCCAATTATTGGGTATTAGGTATAAGTTACAATAACATCTTTATACAATTATAAAATTATCGTTGGCGTTTCTCTCATTTAATTACCCATAATTTATACATACAAGTACATATGTATATCATAAACAAATTTCACTGGATTCTTAGTCCAATAAGGCTACACGAAGTTAATCATGCAGTTAGAGTGTAAAAATGCATAAAACATAAAGGTCCACATTAGTTGGATGAAAGCACTTCAAATCTGAAATATAACATTATATTTGTTTGTTTTTCTAAAATCCTCTCAGTAATGGAGCCACAGTGATGCTCAACATAGAATAAGGTTCATTTAGTCTAAATTTTCAGGCTGTTCTTCATTTACAGTATGTTAAGATTTTACTTTCTTTTTCCAGGTTACAGCTACTGTCCTTCCCCCAAAACCGTCTCCTCCCCAGCATATACCTCTGCCTACTACCCCAATCTCCACCCCCACCACTTCTCACAGTACCCCCACTCCCCAGAGGCACACCTCACCCCTACAAGAGAGAATGGCACCCCAGGGAGGCGGCCCAATAAGACGCAGAGTCTCGGACAAGTGCAACATGCCTATGTCGACAGGTGCAGAACAAGGTTTGCAATATTAGATTGTAAATGTAAATGGTGAACAAATTAAATACAGTGAAACCTGTAAAGTGGATCACCTAGAAGTGGAACACCTCTGTTAGTGGAACATTTTTCAGAGTCCCAAGACCAACTGTCTTAATGTTGAATGATCTCTTTAAGTTTAACATCTCCAAAGTAGAACACTATCACCCATTGAGATGAATACCTCTGCAGCTTTCATGAGGGATGTCACGATTGAAATGTATATAATATATTTCTATTGAAAGTGGTACAGGTATTCCCTGAAAATAGAAGAAAATACTTGCTTTATTATTCGCTGTTATGCTCCGCCTTCTGCAAGAAGGGAAAAGATATTAAAAAACTATAGTTAGGAAATATATACGCTCTTCTAAATGAGACTCAGTATCTACCAATGTACAGTAGGCATTTAAATTAAACAAAGCTATGGCGTGCTTCGATATTTTACTCGCTCAACTTAGATATTTATCTCTTTGCTAAATGTATTTTCAATTCAATATTATGATTTTTCAGAGATCCACCGTAATCGTGAGTTCTACAAAAATACTGACGTTCGACCTCCATTCACCTATGCGTCTCTCATAAGACAGGTAAAAGTAAAGACATTGTTTAATTTTTCGAATTTTTTTTTGCTAGACTGAATAAGAGAATTTTCTCGAGGGTATTTTTCTCATTTGTCAGGTCAGGATAACAAAACAGTCTGTAGATCCTGGCCTATAACATTACCTAAGATCTGCTTCACATATTTTAGAAATAATCATCAAATCTTATGTCAGAAAATATGGCAATTTCAGCTACTAGAATAGTATTTGAGCTATTTCGTACATTTCAGGCTATCAACGAGTCTGGCGATAGGCAGCTGACTCTTAGTGAGATATATAACTGGTTTGAAAAGTCATTTGCATTCTTCAGGAAAAATCAAGCAACCTGGAAGGTAACCTATCTTGCCTATTTTCAACAACTTATAAAATTAAAATAATTATATTTAAATAATCTTTAAGTAAATTAAAGTTTGATTATTAGAAAATTCATATTTAAATGTTTATTTACAGATTAGATTGAAAAAATAAACAATGATGTATATTTAGTTAGATTCTGCTTCAAACATCATTTTATTAGTTTAGTTATAAATAGATATTTCTGTTTTGTTAGTCAGTTAAGAATATATGATTTGCCAACTCATTTAGTCCTGTTTGCTGCTCTAATATTTAATAAAACAAGCATTAAATCATTTGAAAGTTGTTTATGAACAATCAATATCATCCATATTTTTGTTTACCAGTTTTGATATTCATGTGTTGTTATCTCTTTAAAACTCATTCTTCAAGTTCCTCGTTGGTCTTTACGCAAACAACAGCAATTACAGTGATCATGCCAATTTTATGGAATTATTATCTTTCATTATGTGTTTGTGAATGATTAAAAATAATATGTTTTGTTATTATTTTGTGTATTATAAATTCACATAGTAATTATCTTGGATTGTAATTATATTGATGGCTCTCACATCAATTGTAATTTGTATATTTTTGAGAACTGAATGAGAATCGTAAAAAGGGGCAATGGGTTACGTTATTGTAGCTAGTCAGTCAGATAGTAAATGCATGCATTAAATGTTCTGTTTGCTATACGCCATATAGAACGCAGTACGTCATAACCTCAGTCTTCACAAATGCTTTATGCGCGTGGAGAATGTCAAAGGCGCAGTTTGGACTGTAGATGAAATAGAATTCTACAAAAGACGGCCACAAAAAATGAGTGGCAGTGGGTAGGTTATTTGGAACATTATTGCTTCACATGTACTGTATGTGGTGGCGGGCAGCTAAATGGACTCAAAACAATGTACTTTTTCTTGAATCGTCGTAATGATCGACACATCTTGGGTCTCATTTTGTCACAATTATGGACACGGGGACCAGTGACAATCGCATTGTTTTTTTCCATCTATCTTACCAACGCTGTTTTTCTTCTATTCATAACATTTTGTGGTGGTTTTTGTGACAACTTTTTCCCATTTTTCACTTTTTTGCACAGAATGCTATACGCACCAATTTGTCGCTACATAAATGTTTTGTAAGATACGAGGATGACTTCGGATCTTATTGGATGGTCGATGATTTGGAATTTATTCGTCGGCGTCATTTGACAAGGGGACGACCAAGAAAATATCATGACAATGATACTGCACATGATCACATTGTACAGTAAGCACCCCTTTCTCTGTCTGTCTGCTCCCAATTAAAGATGGCGCCTGAATACGTCTGCAACCTTCCATCTGCTCACCTCCTTTCCTAGAGAGCTCTTATTCCTAGCTTCACTCACTTTTGCAGAAACCAAATTTTATTAATGACATCATAAAATCAAATTAATTTTTGTTGAAATTATTTGAGTGTATTTAATGAATGAACCAGTATTGACAATTCAGGCTCCAGAAAAGATATCTGTTAGTTTAGGCCCCTTACACCATCACCAAACTGAAGCCAACAAATTCAATGGAGGCAGGGTCACACAAAATGCCTGCTAATAGCTTATATATTTTACTGTAGCTCTATTTTTGTTACTCCAGCATGCCAGTAATAGAACCATCAGCAAACATAGCTAGATGTCCATTCAGTCCCATCAATATTTCAAATGCATGGCAAATATATACATCAGCCCTTTGAGCTCAAGTCCATAGATCATAATAAAGCATGGTTCAACTTGTCCCCTAGGCTTATTACCCTTGCATGTGTCGCTTAACAAGCCTATACCTTCAATCTCTCTAGAACCTAGCCTGTCAGTTAATTTGTGCAGTTTCATTAGCCAAAGATATCATTTTATTTCAGTCAAACTGTAGTTTCGATGTTCAGAAAACTAGCTGGAATGCGTTATCAGATAGGGCCTATAGATGGCTCTGATAGGAATAGAGCGCCCCCTTGTCAGAAACCAGGGCAACATTTGTTTATTATTATTACAACACTTATTTGTTACACTACAAAACATTTATGATTATATTGCATGATTTTTTTAGTTATTTTCTTGATTGTTGATTGATTTTGTTGTTTTGTTATTGTTTGTTGATTTGCGGTGACTTGGGGTGTGACTTGGGGTGTTACTTGGTGGTGGTGACTGCATATTGAATGCAGCTGTAGTGACTGTTTGATGTAGTCATGGTAACATAGTAGTCATGGTAACCTATTGTAGTCCTGGTAACATAATTTAGTCAAGAGTCTAGTAATAGTCATCTATTACTGTTTTATATGTTCAAGTGTATGTAGTCATTAAGTACATCACCATGGCAACATTTAGGTTTATTTGATAAGAATAAGTCATGATGAACAAAATATGATAACCTGTTGTCATGGTGATGTGATGTATAGTCAATGTAATATACAGTGAATAACCATGGCAACTGATCAGTTACTAACCAACTACTAAAAGCAAAAGTTACAATTACAGTATTAACTGAACATGCGAGATGTAAATGTGTTATTTTGAATAAGAACCAACCCAAGAAAATTTATTTGTAGTCCTGAGGCGTCCAATGCAACATATATGATGTACATATTGTAGTGTACTTAGTAAGTAGAGTTAGCTATAGTGAAGTTTCCTTATTTCCTTAAAGCATTATGATTCTAATTCCTTGAGATATTAAATATATATAGTATTTCCCTGATCCCCCATAGTTAAAATGATAAAAATTATCTTAGTATTAACACACGTTTCTTCCAAAAAATTGATTTTTTCATTCTATGTTGATTTGAAATTCATAAGTAAGATACGATCTGTACATGTATTATAAACAATATGGCGTTTACCTAATTCATAGTTAAAAAGATATGAGTATTCTGATATATGTTTTTTAAAAGTCAATTTTTCAGTAACATTATTAAATGTTTTTGAAACACGTGAAAGTGATAAATAAGATCTGATCTGTTTTTTGATGAATATAACATTTCCTGCAAACAACCAAAGACACAAAATGTGTTTGTCATTCTACGTCATACACTATTTTAATAAAGGTAGTAATATAAGCTATTGCCCCTGTGTATATCTATCCACTCCACCCACTTTTAATAATCACTCATTTTATGTAACAAAAACAACACCTGTTCCCCCTGGCTCAGTTGAATATTCAGGTTGAAAATTAAGGCTTGGTTAACTCTACATGGGCATAGCCATGACAGGCACGGGGTGGGCGAGGCAGAGGCAATTACCTCACTTAAATTTTTTTGAACTAAAACTGCGGAAATGAAGTCCAAAGGTAGTTATAAGCCTCCTAGAGCTTATATTTACCCCACCTATTTGAATTTGCCTCACCTATTTGGATTTGCCTCACCGATTTGGATTTGCCTCACCGATTTGGATTTGCCTCACCTATTTGGATTTGCCTTACCTATTTGGATTTGGCTTACCTTATTTTAGATCCTTGTTACCACTTAAAATAAGAGATATGAATTTTAGTTTGAAATGTAATACTTCATCTAGTACATGTTCATTTTCTCAATAATAACATATTAACCTTGTGAAGAAATTTACATCAAGTTACTCTTATAACTCTGAAATATAAGGTAGTTCCATCGCTGGATTTTATGTGTCCTTATATATTTAAGCTCAAAGAGCATTGCAATATTTGGTTAAAATCTTTGAGATGATGTTTCAATCAGCTCTAGCTTATACTGGTCAAAAATCATACAGGTATGATGAAATACTATCTCAACTGCAAATATACAATTCTTGTTGAGTTCTTCAATGTCTCATGTAACTTTTGATCAATATAGTTTAGAACTAATAGAAACAGCATTTAAAACTTTTTTGCCAAATCCTCAGATGCTCTTTGAGAATCAGAATCTTGTTAGTTACCGTATGCATGTAGGGAAATAAGCATTTACCATTCATGCTAACGGAATTTGTCAATTACTTTAAATACTCTTTAATACAATGCTTTTCAGAAAAATCAAGATTTTGGACCCAAAGCATCGCTTTAGAAAATATCACTAAACAACCTTTCCACCAACGTTGAAATACTTATGAAACGCATAATTGTATTTAAACCAGTCATTTGTCCCAAGTGAAGCCTTATTTCCCCATATGCATGCTATAAAATCAGAAACCCAACCACACATACACCACCTGTCTATCTTAACAAAAATCACTGTATTATATACGAAAAAAAATCTTGCATTTTGAGAAATAAGATATTCTAAGTTGTGAGATTTCTCTAAAGGTATGCAAAATATCTTTGCAGGTAAGTGTTCTTATCTTGGTGTCTATTTTTATTACCTTGTCTTGTTTTTGTTTCTGCATGACGTTTTATCTGGGTATATTTAAGGGATTTTTCTTATAAAACCTCCATTAACTGATCATTTGTACACTTTTATATAAGATTGATCTATTTTAACAGATCGCTCTTCTTAAAATCAATCTAAGTTCAGTCATACTTGAGACACATTGTTGTCCAGCTAAAGCCTCTGGAATCACCTACTCATCCATCCATGGGCTTTCAAGATGGCACGTGGTCCATCTCATGAATAAACATTTATTTATTCTTCAGTGCGCAGTTAATGGAGGGACCTACACACCTTTATAAATCCAATTTGTCTTAACATGTAGATGATCAATTGCCAATTTTTGGAAACATTATGGCGTTGCATTCTGTATTATCTCATATTGCAATATATGTGTTATTTTGGCTAGCCACCATCAGTCTTCAACTTTGGGAGTTCTTATTTCCCAAAAAATATGAATACAAAAAATGTTACAAATTTGTAAAATGCTGGCAATTATTCATCTTTATCTTGATTACTGGTAATGTGATAGTATGTGTTAACATGTGATATTATATATTAACGTGATATTTTGTGTTAACATGTGATATTATGTATTAACATGTGATATTGTGTGTTAATAAGTGATATTATGTGATATTTTGAATTATTTTCCTCTCTATTTTGCCATTTTTATTATTGTTTGTACAACAACCTGACAACAAGTACTACTTCTGCTGTTTTATATCGTGTTTGTCAAAAAGAAAATGTTAATAATTGTGTACTTGATTAAATCTGAAATATGTCCACATCTGTTATTTAATGATCCAGGTGAAGCTCTTATCTAATGGACTAAATAGTCACACGCAATATATGCTTCTAAAAAAATGCAATAGGCGTTTACTTGTCCATTAAGACATTCTATTTTCAAACAAACAGATGTGCATCATTATTTTCATTGCCCTGATATATACAATAAACTCATGCACAGTGAAGTTCACTCACTCTGTTTTCAGCCTTCAGCATTTCCAGTTAATGTTCCATTATATCTGATATTTTGTAGTAAATATGATGATAGTTCATTTATTACTTCACGTTTTAAGGATATGTCACTTTTCATTAATAATGTCATGTTTGGTGTCACATTTTAAGATGTCATTTTTTAATGAATAGTGTCATATTTCATGATGTCATGTTTTCATGAATTATGTCATGTTGAGTGATGTCATGTTTTCAAGAATTTTGTCATGTTTAATGTCATGTTTTCAAGCATTATGGCATGTTTGAATGATTGTCATATTTTCATGAATTGTGTCATGTTTGCAGAGGGGGTATGTCAACAAAGCGAGAGTCGTCCAGCCCAGGATTGTACGGAGAGACATTGAACGCTAGCCTCAGGGTGAGTGTGATATATTTCCTGTCCTCTTCTTTTAGAAGTTAGAAAATTGAAGGCATTATACAAGCATAAAGGGTACATCATAAGGACTTTGAATCAACTGGTCAACCTTGCATTTTGGACCTTTTTTAAATAATCATTTGTTCAAGTAATAACACGTCAATTTTTCTAAATAATCAGCTGGGCTAAAGCAAAAAAGCTAAAACCAACTAACAATCTTTTTTTTTTTTATATTTTTCAGGCAGCGCTAGCAGAGAGCAACCTGCCATTGCTAAGCAACAATGCGAGCCATCCAGGAGCTCACATGTCTGAGGAGAACGCAGAAGACCTCTCAATGAGGGGCGAAGATTTGTCTTTAGCTGGCATGAGAGCTATTGCAGCAGAGGCTATCAGAGAAAGGTTAGTGAAGGCGAGAGGGAAGTAAATAGGGATGTGAAACTGAAGACTTATAAAAATGATGAATATAAAACCTGGAAAATTCATATGTTAATCGGGGGCATTGACAATGAAGAATTGGAATTGGAGCCAACAATGTTTGATTTGGTCATATCCCTCATTTCAAAATTGCATTTAATTTTCTCCCATTTGTCTGTAAGTTGAATTCATGGTGAATTTCAAGTTAAATGAGTGAATTCTGAAAGAGAAAAATCCAGTTCTGTTGAGGGATTTTCCATCTCAGTTGAAAAATCTGAAATAACAAATAAGTCATTCATTCAGTTAAAGTATTTTATCTTCCAATGAATACAAAAGAAAAGCAAAGTGAATTATATTGGAAGCATTTAAGCGAAACAAAGCTGCTGACCCATTAAAGAAACAGAAAATGTGTCAGTTTCGTGAGGAATTCCAGTTATTGATCAAAATTCAAGATTCTAAAAATCTGTAGGCCATGGTAATGTGGTAAAGCAGAGGAGTGATTGTTTGAAGATTTTAAAATCACACCATCTATTTTTCAAAGTAATTTTTAAAAAGTAGTACAGCCACTGTGTTCATGACTCATAATGTTAGTTGCGTTCATACTGTTCCTCATATCAAAGTGAACCTGTATTAAAATATTCTGAATTATGCTTTGGATTTCTTAAAAGGGACTAAATTCCTGAAAGGGACTTCAATTGTATTATAATCTATTGTGAGTTGTAGACAATGACCTTTAAATGGTATTGTATTATATTTTGCACCCATATCCTAATAAGGAAAAAAGTGCTCTAATATATCCTAATAAGGTTTCAAACTATGTCCTCATATTCTAATTTTTAATGTGATGTATATTGTGCTTATGTCCTAATCTTGTATAATTGTAAATTGTGCCCTTAAAGTTTATTTTGTGCTCATATCCTAATTTGGTATTTTAGTTTTGCCCATATATTTATTATCATAATGAGGTATTTTGTATTGTAGAGACCAGCTTCAGAGAGAGATGAAGGAAAGAGAGGAATACAGTATCAAACAGGAGGCTGAGGCTATGAACATGTCCACTGAGAACAGACATCAATCCATTGATGAGGTGCCCAGTCCAACACTTTCTAGATCCCCACCTGATATTACACAAGATGGACCTATCTATAATAGTGGGGATCTAGAAACAGCTACAGAGTTCCAAAATGGTGACATCGCGGAGCATTCTGTGTCACTGTCTCATTCTATGTCAGATAAAGACTTCAGGGACTATCCCGATAATGAAATACACAGTTCTCCCAGTTACCCTAGCAACAATAATGAAAATGAGGTCCCAGAGGATCTCTCCAAGTCTTCGTCACCCATCATGGCAACTTCAACAAGTCAGGAATGTGTCAGTGAACAAATGGACATGTCTATAAAGACAGAGAACTAGATGTTATCCCATATAATAGAGATCCTAGAATTCCAGACATTATGCCAAATACTAGTATGACTTAGAGGGTACATATATGTAGCAATGCAAGATAGGGACCAATATAACAAGAGGACATCTACATGATATGTCTCAAGAACTAGTCATCTGATTTTCATGTGTAATGAGATCAAAAGATGGCATCCCAGTATACTGGTTACCCAAGGTCCAGCTGAACACAAGATTCCACATGTTGACACATGGTTTTCTGTGACACATGGTGTGTGTTCTATAGATGCTACAGATTGTTTAGCGCTTCTAGCAACTCTTTCCACCACATATTGGAGGATTCAATATTGTCAATCAGGATACAAAATCTGTGTCTATTTGTTGGATAGCAGATATATAGACATGTATTACTACACTACTCTATGTTATGTGTAATTGTGGACTATATTATGTGCTACATGACATTGGAGAGGCTGTTAAAAGGCTAGCATCGAATCATATTTGCAAGACAATCCAAGGTTCATATGCTGGTGTATTTGTAGAAAATGTAGTTAGTGTACTCATTATCTACATGTACTCATTCTGTACTACACTTGTGCATGTATACTCATAATGTACACGTACTCAATATTATGTACATGTACTGTACTCATTTTAGTGTTTCGATGTAACTGTTTGAGTTATTGATATGTGCTTATGATCATTAAAATTATGACAAATGAACTCGTATTTAATGTTTATATGATGGCATATTTTAACATATATGTCACATTGGGCATTTGATAAAAATTATTAATTTGATATCTAGTGACTCTGAAAAGTCAGCCTATATTTATTTCTGAAACAGTTACAATTGAAGATTTTCCATCTGTTAACAACCTGTAAATGTATAGTACAGGTGGCAGCAGATGTCAGCTATCGACAGATGACATCACATGTGTCACAAAAATCTGTCTCTACCATTTATGTTGTAAATGTAGATAATCCCATAACCCGCTGCAGGTAATTATTGGTGACCTAAATTATACTATTAGGCCATTATATACCACTTTCAAGAATCTTGTTTTCTATAAATAATTAAACATCAGTGTCAATTTCCATAGCAACTAATGATGCCTGATTTTAAAACAGCCATGGTTAGATGTTTCTTGAACAACCACGGATGATTTTAGACTCAGATTTCTAGTTTATTTATTTAATAGGAATGATATCAGGTAGACATTGAAGTGCTATATGATTCAGAATGCAGTGAGTGTAACATATTCATTAGCAGAGTCAACTACTGCTATGTACTAATGGAAAAACAAATGAGGTAAATCAATAAAGTGTCAATCAAACTGATTGTTGCTATGGAAACCAGTTTTATAATGATTTTTCCTGACAAATTCAATTTGTTACTGTTTGGCTTTGTAGATAGACACATTTGCCATTAAAATTAGAAATTCAGGAATCTTCCATATACATTTACAAGTATTTATAACAAAGCAAAATCAGGGGAACATTTTGCTTGTTGATTTCTAGTGCTAAAGATAACATGTTTACCTCTCTCAGAGAGCTAGTTATCCTGCAGTCAGGTTGTACATTTTAACAAATGTATAAATTTAGTTTCGCTTTGTATATTTTTGCAGGGTATTTTTGCAAATTTTAACATCTGATATTCATGCTTATCCACGCTTTTCCAGTGTCACCAATTACAAGGATGAGAAATTTGATTTTTTTCTGTCCAGTGTTGTATGGTTAATATTGGTTATATATTTAAGCTATTATATTATTTATTTCTATATATGGTAAAGTCAGCTGTAAATTGGGAGAAATCTCTGTAGATAACCACTTTGACCAAAGGCTGCCAGAATTCTCCAGGCTGATCATCGATATTCGATTTGGTAATATTAATATCACAAGCAGGCCCGTAGCCAGGGGGGGTTCGCAGGGTTCGTGCGAACCCCCCCCCCCCCCCTGGCCAAAAATTCTTTCAAAATCATGCAGTTTTTCACCATTTTGAGCACTTCTCAAGTGATTTTAGTCATATTTGGGACAAAATTGTCAAATGTGAACCCCCCCTGGAACCTTTTGAAAACTGAACCCCCCCTTGGTAAATCCTGGCTACGGGCCTTAAAGGAACATTCCTTGCCAGACTATTTCTCTCCTGATATGGTAGCTACAATCATATATATACTTTACATATTTAGCAAAACACAGGAAAAAATTGGTCAATATTGATCATTTAAAAATGTAGTACTCATTCCCAGTAAGCTGCCATCTTTTCAGATTTCTTTCAGGAAGTGATGTCATCGACTCTCACCTGTTATAACCTTGTCTATTACAGTATAGGAAAGAAGTACAAAATCACTTCTAAACAAGAAGCCCTTATCTTCTGTGTAAAAATATTTTCAGGAGTTGTCAACTTAGAACTAAAGAAGAGATCATCAAAAGGATTTTAATCATAGACCAAATTGAAAAAAATATTCAGCTGGTTTAGTAATTCTAATAGCTCCTTACCTAATGTTATATGCAAAGTTGAGAGTCGATGACATCACTTCCTGAGTGAAATTTTAAAAGATGGCAGCCTACTGGAATTGAGCACTACATTTTTAAGTGATCAATATTGACCATTTCAAAACATTTTTCTGTTTTTTGATGAACTTGCGAAGTATGTATATGGTTATAGCTACCATATTAGGAGAGAGATGGTCTGGCAAGGAATACCCCTTTAAAGTATACATATTTCATGTTTAACTGGCCAGTAAACCTAATAATTTGTGTTATACTGGCTAATAGACCTAATAATTTGCATTTATCTGGCCAGAGGGCCTAATAATTTGTGTTTGTCCCGAGGCTTGTTTCTCAAAATATAAATATAACAACACAGCTGTAATTTCGGATAATGAAGCTAATATTTTAGTTCTGTGCAACGCTTGAGAAACATGCCCATATTAGGTGTGGTATTATTGCCATAACAACCTTTCATCATTATGTTACATTCCATTTAAAGTTAATATTTATGCTTTCTGTTTGTTATTGAATATTTAGAAAATGTTATATATTGCTTATCAGAATCTCAAAATTTATGTAGTGTATATACTAGACAACTCTATTATTATGTTCTGGCTAATACATGTGAATCACGTTAGAAATTAAATTGATTGTAATTGCATATAACAGTTTGGTGCTGGTTCAAAATAGGAATGCTTTTTCTTGCGAAACTAATGAAGTTAACGAAAGACCCCTCGAGCTGTTATATTATGTCATCACCAAAAGTGGTCACATATTGTTATGGTCTCCCACTTATTGTATCGGCGTTCAACATTCGTAATAACTAACAAGGTGGTGACATTTTGTCATGTTAATGCCTTGTTAAATTTACAATGGTGTTTCCTAATGGTCAATGTTCAGGGTTTACCTCTTTGTACCCCCTTCCCCAAATGGAAAATTAGCATTGAGATTTGTCCCAGGTGTTTCAGTAAGCCAGCTTGTGTTAGGCTAGGCTGTAATAGCAACTAAGTTGTATACACATTACATATCTAGGCTGGTGCAAGTATACTGTGTAATGTTTAAGAGGCCTCTTCAGCTGTCATCTTCAATGCAAGGCAAGGCTAGAAAATAATTTGCAATATGATTTAATTTAAATAAGGACGAATATTTGCCTCCTTTATCCCTTAATTTATGACAGTACATAACAATATTCCATTTGGATTAATACATAAAGTTTTGCTCAAAATATCTTTAATTACAAGTACAAGTCACAGAGTTGGCTCCACTGCATATTTTTATCAGTTCTTCATTGAAATTTTAGTGTTCTTGAAGAGACAAATATTCATCCTTTTTGCCCTAAAGAAATGTCTCCTCTTTCAAGGAGATGACTTTTGGACTAAAATTGAGGATTGCTATATGCTAGAACTATATAGGCTTTTAGAGAATAATTTTGTCATCCATTTTAGAATAATCCAATTATACAAGTATGTCTCTCTAATTTTGTCATATATTGAAACGTATGACATCATATATTGAAATGTGTGACATTTTATATTGAAATATGTGACAATATATTGAGATGTGTGACATCATATATTGAAATGGGTGACATCATATATTGGAATGTATGACATCATATATTGAATTTTATGACATCATATATTGAAATGTGTGACATCATATATTGAGATGTATGACATCATATATTGAAATGTGTGACACCGTATATTGAAATGTGTGACATCATATATTGAAATGTGTGACATTATATATTGAAATGTGTGACATCATATTTTGAAATGTGTGACATCATATATTGAAATGCATGACATTATATATTGAAATGTGTGACATCATACAAAACACTGCTTCCCATATACTTGAAGTGGCTTCAGATTAAGTTCAATAGCAAAATGGAAACAGGTAAACAGGGTCGTTAACAATATTTTAAACATTATCCCATTGGTCCTGTGATTTCAATTTCACAACTCGTGAAATAAGCTTTTCAATAATGAGAAGGCTTAATGAGTAACTTGTAAAAACATTCAAAATAAATAAGGAAAATTCAGGTATATCAAAAAATCAGGTTTAATTTTAACACTTCAATCATCCTTGTGTCTGAACCATATTACATGCATGATGTAGTCGCAAATGCTTTAGAAATATTTCACGCATAGTAAATATTCTCATAGGTACAAATCCATAACCATAATACACCTAGATAGCCTACTTTGAACTACTCGTTGTCTTAACCCTATCATGTATGCTTCATGAGCAGAATTGAAAGGGTTAAGTTTGATCCAAAGCTCTGTTTCTAGTCACTTGGTTCTCTCAGATTCTCTAAAAAATTGACTTTGCACAATTGGAGACACAATTTAATTAATGTAACTATATAAATATTTGTGTATGATATTTCTACCAAGTCAGATAATTAGGTGATTTCTATTGTTATCTATAAGCTACTCAACTCTAGTTTAATACTCAATATGAGTAGCATATACTCAATGTGAGTAGCATGTATGGGATTTGTGTAATACATTACTGTATACATTGTCCATTGACTCAATACTATTCCTAAATACTAAATGAGTTCCTAGCTCTTAAACCTTATTTTTAGTTCATTTCACTTACTACAGTACAAATTACTCTTATGCTAATATGAGATTTTGTGTTTTAATTAATTGATGAAATTCAGCTTTTAATCATGAATCAATATTTTTTCAAAATGTTGAAGTGAATAAATTGACCATGTTCTAATGGTTGATTCTACCAAGCATGTCTTGGGGAATCCCTTGCAAATAAATTGATATATATTTAAACTTAACCTGAAGGTCAGTGGTATTTTCTTTAAAAAAGATAAGGTCTGTTTTCACTCAATTTTACACACAAATGTACAAAATTGAATGTACATTTATATTTATACATTAATTCCTGTGCATAGCTAGAGATAGCTTATGTATTAATACAGAGTGTCTCAATATTATTTTACAGTGGGTAAAGTTAAAAATGTTTGCAAGTGGAATATTGGGGTGATGAATTCCCAGTGTAGGTGTAGTGAATGTGTAATGTATGTATTGTAAGATGTAGAATAATAATGATTCTTTGCAGATTTTACTATGAAGTCATATTTAATTATCAAAGCCATGAGCGTCTAATAAACAATCAATGTATCATAGAATTATTCAATGTGTTTTGTTTTAATTTATCATCCATAAAATATGCGGGGTGTCAAAAACAGCACCCTTCCAAATTGAAACATAATGACACATCCTGTACCATTAAGTTGTTTTTGCTGAAGAGAGAGAGAGTTCCATTGTTTTTTGACATACTGTATGTATTCAAATGTTTAAAAAATGTAATCTGAACACCTCTTAATTACCATGTTAGAAATGTAATCTGAACACCTTAAAGGTTGTATATAACTATCAAAGTGTTTTCATTCCTTTTCAAAGCCTCTATTGAGAAGTAAATACTCATCTTTCATTCCATGTAAAGTAAACAGAAATTGATAAAATATTGATGGAGGGGTAGTTGTTACAATGACCCCTACTTTTAGCAATTTTCAAAACATTTGTATCCAGTGTAACTAACGAGGGACCCCGTATCAGGCAAAATCTTGTATCAGAAATATTCCCAAGGATTTCTCTTGATTTTGACATTTTTGGTAAAATTTCAAAACGTGTTAATAAAAGTTGAATATGTTATATGATAATCAAATTGTACCATTTTATGTCACCATTATTGATGACAAACTTGATGAATAAGTTTCAGAAAAAATATTCTGGAATAAATTGGTAATTGATGGTTTCAATGGAATATGAGGAAATATGAAATTGGCCTTGGAAAATCACATTGACACTCAGGCTGTTGCCCTTGTTCAATATGATATTTTCTTTGGCCAATATCATATTTTCCCTTTGAATAAAGTTCATATCCCATTCTTCCCATTAAATAATCGCTAATTATTTTTATGCCTTGATAGTTATATACATCATTTTATTCTGCCAATCCATGTAATCTGAACACCCTCCCTTAATTTTCAAAACCTTATCTTCACCATTTATCTTTTTACCTTATTGATAGATGTCACTGTAATACAATCAATGTTTAGAATGCCGTCATTCAGTGAAGGGGTGGACGGTTATAGATTGGACCGTATAATATCTAATATTAAGTTCTATGATTCATATCTGAATAATTTCATAACTCTAAATATGTATATCAATTAATTGAATCAATATTTAGATTAAAATACAATCAAAGTCGATAAAATAATAGATACTTACTAACCTAGCACCCCTTTATAAATGAAAACACCAATCGACCGCTCCTCTTGATCTCTTGTTTACATGATGGCCACGAAGTAAAGTAACGAGAACAGATTTCTGTACAATTTCCTGAATATCAGCGGAGTTACAGCTTGAATACACAATTACTTTGGTGCAATAAGTGTACGAATAAACAATGGGAGTATTCGTAGTAGGATTTTGGGTCTTAAGTGTGATATGCGTGATTTTGTACTTGATAACTAGATCGACCGTGCAATCTTCGAGTGATGCAAAATTCAAAAGTTTTCAGTCCACATATATTGTGGTGTATTTGCTTGCTATGGGTAAGTATTTACAGTATATTCAGGTGAATAGAATCTCTAGCGTTGTGGACTTGATGTTTACATGACCAAGTTCTATCCTAAGGACGTATATGAGATTTCCCAAAAAACATGAAGGAGTTTCATTGAATTGATTTTATGTTAGTCTCAGGCTCAAGTTAGAAATCATTGAGGCCAGGGGCGGATCCAGGATTTTGTCTTAGGGGGGGGGGGGGGGGGGCGTGTGATAAAAACTGTGAGTCAAATTTTGTAAAAAGCAATGAGCCTAAACACGAATTTTCCGACTTTTTTTTGAGATTTTTCGGGCATGACATGTTCATGGATAAGCTTGAACTCAAATAATGTTTTAAAAGGGACAAGAATAGACAATATGTTCTAAAGGTGACTTGTTTTAACTGAACAGTAATTGAACTGAAAAATAACTGAACATGACAGGCCATTCATTGTCTTAAGGTACAGCTGGAAAGTAACATTTTGGTAAAAAATTGCTATACCAGCACATGTTATTTTCTGGTACAAAATAAAGTATGAAGACATGTGTCAATTGCCTTGCTTTTTTCAGGAAAGTATCATTACACTGTCTTCTTTAAGAATACCTAGTAGGAGTTCAATAGAGAGAAAACTTTTGTTTGACACCCTTACGCAATTTAATTTTGTAGGAAGTCCTAACTTTATTTTCAAAAAGCTTTTATCTCATAAAAATTCTTATGTAATTTTACATCTAGCAAAGTTCATTTATCATTCATTCAAAAAACTGGATTAATATTGTAACAATGATACATCACACTGATGTTTTAAATTCTGTCATGTTGTATCTGTATTTTACAATTATCTCATTTTTGTATTTTACATTTTGTGATGCTGTAATTGTATTTTACAACTTTGTATATTTCCTATGAAGTAGTTAGTTTAGTCTTAGTATAATTTTGTATATTGTAGTTTGTAGTGACTAATATGTCATTGCAATGACATCAGAGAGTCAATAAAAGATATATATATAATGGGAACTACAGGAAATTCTGATATTTCACAATTTCTTTTTTTCCAAATTTTCTTTCAAAGTTTCCAGACAACACAGGAGATACCATTGACCTGTTTCCAGGTTTACTAAAAGTAGACAGTGTAATGATACTTTCCTGAAAAAAGCAAGGAAATACACACATGCCTTCATACTTAATTTTGTACCAGAAAATAACATGTGCAGGTATAGCAATTTTTTACCAAAATGTTACTTTCCAGCTGAACCTTAAATGCTTAAATTGAATAAATCTGACTAAATATGTTGAGTAAAATTTAAATGCGACAATCTATATGAAAATTTTGGAATTTTAAGAGTGACTTCAGCGACCTCCCTACCCCCTCTTGTGCATCAGGCAACCTATATTCGATTTTAGACCATTTGCTATATGTTTAGAAATCACTGAGCCGAAAAGCTTCATATAAGTAACTAGCACACATTAAACATCAAGTGAGGTAAAATCATTGTTGCAAAGCAGTCACGATTGAATTAATTGCACATTTTATTGGATACATGTATTTCCAGTCACACGGAGACTTTGTTTTGACTCAACTTCAAAACCACTTTTAAACCAATGTTTTGGTAGACTGGGCGTGTATATTTGCCACATGTATATTGGCCATCTCTCAACTGTCTTGTGAAGTTAAAGCAGTTATGAAATAGAATTTTTGACCTAAAGGAATCAATATAATTTTTTGATAAATGTATTTGGACATCTCATTTCTCATCATGCAGTATTGTGAAAATTATTTCACTCTAACGATCGTTATTTCTAGAAATTAGTATGATTAAATCATAATTGCTCAAATATTTTCAATTTAGTTAAAATATATAGAATGATTACGATGGTGTGAATTACCCCTTTACTGACAATGTTATCAATTATTGCAGTGTCTGTCCACAAATGCAATATTTGGACATTGATTCGGTTTCAAAATAATCACCAATGTAACCAACATTTAGCCCTCTTTTTGTTCACTTCTAGTAATTTTCCATTATTTGTCAACTGATTCTATGTTTAAATTCATTTTTCAGCGGCTGACTGGATGCAGGGGCCCTATGTATATGCCCTTTACGCTGCATATGGAATGTCGACACATCAAATAGAGGTCCTGTTTGTTGCAGGATTCGGCTCTAGTATGATATTTGGAACTATCATAGGCTCATTTGCTGACAAATAGTAAGTTATTATTCCTTCAGTGAGAAAATGAACATAGAAAATGGTATACATACCCAGGCCTGTAGCCAGGATTTGCCATGGGGGGGTTCAGTTTTCAAAAACTTTCAGGGGGGGTTCACATTTGACAATTTTGGCCCAAATATGGTGCTCAAAATGTTGAAAAACTGCATGATTTTGAAAGAATTTTTGGCCATATGGGGGGGTTGCCCGAACCCTGCGAACCCCCCCCCCCTGGCTATGGGCCTCCATACCTATTACATAGCAGTGATCCCCCAGCATAAAAGCAAGTACGCACTGTACCCAATTGAAATTTTAATAATAGGCTTGCACCCACCCGAGATTCCATATGCGTTGAAAAAGAGTAAAATGGTGAAAAATAGGCATATTTTTTACTAGGTGCATTCATTCACCCTCTGGGTCTCTGAGGATCGTGTTGGCCCCAGGGGTGCATAACGTGCAATGTAAATTTATCAAATATAAGAAATGCTGAAAAGTCCGGATCTGATGTTTTTGACTTTTCTCCCAAGATCTTACCTCGATCTTGAAAATTCTTTCACCACTGGATAGCGGTACCAAAAATCTTCAAAATGAACCCATAAATGCCTCGTTTTATTACAGTAATTATGTGTAATAGTTGCAGATAAGACGAAATTGCATTTCTGACCGGTCTTCTTGACATTTTCGCTGACCTAATTTCAAGTGCGCATGCGTTGCATAAATCAGTGTGATGATCACGTGACGTGACGTAATTTGATGATCACGTGTTGTAATGTTTTCCAATAACCAGTTGGTAAAACTGCTATAGTGGATTCTTGATTCAATATGTTTGTTATCACGTCTTGTATCTGTTCTGGCTTCAAATCAAATCCAAACTTTGGTTTTATGTTATGCGAATAGAGATCATTGATTTCTTCCATCGAATACATGATGGTCGAATGAATGATATAAACTCTGTATAGTTAAATAGATGGCAGCAATATTCAATGGCTACTCTCGTCAAATCTCGTGAGAATAGAAGCCGCCATAAAGATTTTGTGAACAGTAGCGACAAACAGCGATTTTGCTACAAAATTAGCACAATTCAACCTTCTACAACCACAAAACTATGGAAATTTTTTGTATAAATCATCAATGTATCCATTTTGTTTATATTTCTCTGTAAATGACGCAGAGATTCTAAGCAGAAGATTAAAATAAAGTGAACCGTCAAAAATAATCAAGAAAAACTTAGATTGGCATGAATTTACAAGGATAAACACCGCCTCTAATGCAAGTCCTTACGACAATCCAACGCATTAGAGGCGGTGTTCACCGTCTAATTTTTTACCAAAGGTCTCTAAATTGTGAAAATGAAAAGTTTGCTCCCACTTGAGAAAAAAACCAGGGGAGTCAATACTAGAATTGGTAGAGATCTCACCATTAGAGAAAACCAGTACTAGTTTACAATTTTACACCATGTCAAAATGATGAAATTGATGTATTCTGACCAGAATGTTTTTTTTGATTTTGAACCCCACTGAGAAAGAATCACTGATCTATATAGTTTATCATGATGTTAAAAATAATTGGCAAAATTTTTTGTAGCTTTGGATTTAAGATTGTTACATCAGAGTGAAATATGTTGATAGGCTATAATTGTACTTGGTTATAAGTAATTAAATGTGTATGTAAGATTGTAAAGAGGTTTTTTAACACAGCATGACTGCTCTAATATGTATGACATTAAATGTAGTTCATATCGTTAAATTGCCTAAAACTTTAAAGTACACCATTTATGGTCTGTTTATTTTCATGATTCTGTTTTTGTGGATCTGTTCTTATTTTTCATTGAATCATGATATAGCACTCTCAAATAGCCAAATACGGGAAATATAATACAATTTCTTCTGAATATTGGAGCTTTGTACTGTTGTCTGACTGAAGTGATTGCTAAATATTGCTTTAGCTTTGGTATAAAAGACACTTTTAGACCAACAAACTTATAAGCATTTATTCTCCCAATTTTTGAATCACATGAGACAAAATATTGTAAGAATTTCTTTCCATTTTTTTTCAGTGGCCGAAGGAACAATGCAATTCTGTACGGTGTACTATATGGGTTGGCTTGTGTTACGAAGGTAATAAATATATAATTTAAAATACAAAACTTGGACACCTCCATAATTACCTATGTACTTACATTGGGTCATGCAAAACATAAAAAATCCCTAAAATTGAATGATAAATAGAATTTCATTTCCTTTTAATATATCAGTTAAAATGTGTTCAGTAAAAAAAGGTATCTCATCTTTGAACACTTAACGTCAGAAATCAAGGTTATCAATTTGAACATTTTTTTTTATTTTCTGTCCAATTTCTTTCTTCTCCACTCCTGTGTTACATATGAAAGCAATTACCAGGTCCTATTAGCTTGATATAAGACAGGTTTTATACTACTATATACAGAAGTTTTTTATCACCAGATTTATCAAACTATTTGTTTTGTTTTGTTAAAGGATATAGAGGATCATGTCAGTGCATGACACATGAGATAAATTAAGAAATGTATGAGTAATGTATCATTATACAGTTTGTTTATTTAGCATGTTCATATTTTGTGATATGATATCCAGTCAACATGATTTTCATACAAAAGTGTTCTTGCCATGGTACTCAGGAGTGGCAATGTCAATGCAAATTCTGAATGTTAATTTGATGTAATTTATAACTGAAACTTAAAATTCAAAAGAAATTGACATGATAAATGTTCACAGTTGTAAAACTAATAATATATTTATGATAGATATTACCCCATGTTATTAGACACTTATCTGTATTATTTAACATGTGTTTAGGCTATACAGTCCATAAATTGCATTTTTGCTGAAGCTCATAGAACAATTTTGTTATTGCATAGGAATAAGAATCAGTTTTAAATTTTAAAATGAACATGTTTTCTCATTTGACATGCTGCGATATATAACGTGATTCTTTTTTATTGGTTTTTGTCCTGCTTGACCTACTAAATCACTATTTCTCTTTTGTTTGCTATATAATCTCATATCAGCTCGTTGTCTTACATTGAGTGGCAAATAACTTGTTAAGGTAGTTGTTAACCAGCAAAATTTTAATGACTTCCTCATTATGTGGAGGAAATAAAGATACTGAACTGAACTGAATTGATATGTTTTTTCTAAATTAGTATGCCCACATCTATGTAGTTACATATACAATAGGTCTGTAGCATATGGTATTGTTGTCAGTTTGACATTTGTACTGGTGTTTTCTCACCTTTTCTTGGAAAATCACTAGAAAGATCGATTTAGAATTTATGATTTTCATGGTGTGAACAATTACTTATCTTGATTATTGTAGCATTTTAACAACTTCCACATTCTGATGGTGGGGCGTGTATTAGGTGGGATAGCGACATCTATACTGTATAGTACCTTTGAATCATGGCTTGTCTACGAACACAATAAGGTAAGGTTATCTACATGTCCTTAATAATCCTTTAATATTCTAATCCCTTTCTGATGTGACGTGTTTACATGTTAACATGGCCATAAAATTGTGACCAATGAAACTATGTAGAATGAAAGAACGAGCTTTAATTGCCCCAAATGTGACTTAAGCCCCATACTGGATGACGATGAGTTTAAGATTTGTTTGGGTTATGTTTTTTGGCTCACCCTATATTGATGTAGTTAAATTGAACCTCTGTAAAATGTGTAATTTTTATATTTTTAAACTAAAATTATATTTTTCAGCGAGGATTTGAAGGGGACCTTCTTGGAAGTATTTTCTCTCATGCCATATTTGGTAATTCTGTAGTAGCGATATTGTCTGGACTAGTAGCACAAACGTTTGCTGATTATTTTGGCTATGTGTAAGTAATGCAATACTAGTTTCATTTTCAGTAAGTACTAGTATATCATATTTGTGGATATTTATGTACCCATATCCATCATATGTCATGGATATTGATTTTATCCTCCGTTTATTGAAGTAATCTCATGAGCTCAGCTGGCTGATTTTAAACATCATGTGTCATTCTTTGGTACATGCTGTACTGCTAAAGAGGTGTACATTGCAAAATACTGTATAGCATTAACAAGGCCAGATTAAAGTTTATTTATTGAATAAAGTATGTTTAAATTGTCATTTATTTAAATATATGCTCATGTTATCATTCTCATTCTTAGGGCACCATTTGATGTTTCTATGACGATTCTAGCTGTTATGTGTGTTGTCATCATGTTTACATGGGTTGAAAACTATGGAGACCAGAACAGTAACATATCAGAGAGTTTCAGCAGTGCCTTCAGATCCATCAAAACAGGTATGTTTCCTCAGTAGTGCCTTTAAATCCATTGAAACTGATGGTGTTCCTTCAACAGTGCCTTTAAATCCATCAAAATAGGTGGCGTTCTTTCAACAGTGCCTTTAAATCCATCAAAATAGGTGGCATTCTTTTAACAGTGCCTTTAAATCCATCAAAATAGGTGGCATTCTTTCAACAGTGCCTTTAAATCCATAAAAATAGGTGGCGTTCTTTCAACAGTGCCTTTAAATCCATCAAAATAGGTGGCATTCTTTTAACAGTGCCTTTAAATCCATCAAAATAGGTGGCATTCTTTTAACAGTGCCTTTAAATCCATCAAAATAGGTGGCATTCTTTCAACAGTGCCTTTAAATCCATAAAAATAGGTGGCGTTCTTTCAACAGTGCCTTTAAATCCATCAAAAATAGGTGGCATTCTTTTAACAGTGCCTTTAAATCCATCAAAATAGGTGGCATTCTTTCAACAGTGCCTTTAAATCCATAAAAATAGGTGGCGTTCTTTCAACAGTGCCTTTAAATCTATCAAAACAGGTATGTTTCTTCAGTAGTGCCTTTAAATCCATTGAAAATGGTGGGATTCCTTCAACAATGTCTTTAAATCCATTGAAAATGGTGGGGTTCCTTCAACAATGTCTTTAAATCCATTGAAAATGGTGGGGTTCCTTCAACAGTGCCTTAAGTCAATTGAAACTAATGGGGTTCCTTCAATAGTGCCTTTAAATCCATTGGAACTTTAGATACTCTGAATGATCTTGATTGGACATCTGGTTGCAGAGAAATCGTAATTTTACTGAGTGGCTTCATGAAAAAATAAAAAGGCTATACGCCTCGTTGATTTAACATTTTTAGATTGTGTGGAATACTGGAGTTATGTGTTATAAAGTTCAACTTAGGAAGTCTAATTTCTGATACGTTACTACTCTACAATAAATGCATGTAGTAAACATGCATCACCTCTAACTTGTTTCAGATTACAAGATCCTATGCCTAGGTCTAATTCAGTCTCTGTTTGAGGGCTCTATGTATACATTTGTGTTGGAGTGGACGCCTGCACTCACTCCCCCTGCCCCAGCAGAACAGGCAGCTAGTAGGTCACTTCTGGTAGATGATGCTAAAGATAGTGATAACCATAATGGGACCATTCCTCATGGATACATATTCGCAGGTTTCATGGTATGTATAATGGGTGTCAAGTATGTACCAATAAAACCTGCAAAAAAGGAATACTCTCTGGCCCGGCCAAGATTTTTCCATGTAGAGAGGTGTTGCCTTCAGAGAGGGTCCGTTTTGGGCCAACCCCCAAAACTAAATTTGCCGAATAAGTATTTAATTATTGTAGATGGTGGATTACTGATGTGATAGTAGCGCAATATTGGTTAAGCCTATATTCAAGTTTCTTCCACCCCATTTTGTTGCATTTACAGTCTGCAATTTTGTATCTTTAAAAGATTTAAAACAATTTGGTTCAATATCACACAATTACATTTCTATGATCTCCTAAAACAGTTGATTCTGTCCCTAGCTAGAATAGCTCAACTTGTCAGATGAATCATCTTTTGTTTAAAGAAAGTATTTGTGCCAATTACTAAGGTGCGAGTAGGTAGTTACCAGTTTCGCCTCCAGGTGGCTGATTCGGGGGAAATAACATGGCAGGGTACTACAAAATTCTCTTAAACTTGAATATTCATCAGTTTTAGTGGTTCACTTTTCATATTACCCTTATGTATCTGATAGTTATACAAATTAAAATATGTCCAGTAAAAGAAAATATTATCTGCCCAACACAAGAAAAGATATTTCCATTTTTGTGATTTTACAACATGGGGTCTATGGGGAATATCCCCGTCCTAAAAGTCACATTTTTAAAGAAAATTAAATTTTCCAGTTGATTATCTCTTTTTAAAACCACATTTCTAGATGTAATTTTACATGTAGATTCCAAATATGAAATGAATTTTGAATTTTTAATAACGTAAATCAAGATTATTTCTACTCGCCACTAGGATATTCACAGGCTGGTATCGAAAGATTTGTCCGCTGTGACAGAGCATGATTATTTTCATAAAAACATTCAGAATAATTCACAATTTATTTTTTAACTCATATGTTTCGTTATATCAGAGAAAATTACCTACTCCATGCAATGGATATATCATTAATTGCGGGTAACCTTCACTTCTACTTGAAGTCCAATAACGCTAGGAGTAAAAGCTATTGAACACAGCGCCAGAGTATCAGTCTAAAATGTGCCATTTCTTTCTTTTTAATGGCATGATAGTGAGACGATATGTGTTAATGTTATCTGGATGTATGGGGTCTTTTAAAAAAGAAATGGTACATTTTAGAGTTTGATACTCTGGCGCCGTTTTCAATAGCTTTTACTCCTAGCGTTATGGAACTTTAAACAGAAGTGAAGGTTATATCGATTGCATGGAGTAAGTAATTTTCTTTGACATAATGAAACATATTAGTTAAAAAATTAATTGTGGAGTATTCTTAGTGTTTATATGAAAAATAACATGCTCCGTCACAGCGGACAAATCTTTCAATAACAGCCTGTGATATTGGCAGTTTAAAACAACCAGATTAATTAAGGTAAATAACAGTGGAAGGGATGTCGCAGCTTGTCAACAATCTACTTTATAATCTCATTTATATATTAATCTAAGCTCTTTAGGTGTACAGAGTAACCAATATTCATTGTGAACATGTAAATTTTCAAACCTAGTAGACAGGTGTTTTTTACATAGAGGATCTGTTAACATGGAAGTCTCCTCTCAATACTCTGAATCGTGAATGATTGAGAGGAGACCATTTTTGGAAAATGTTGTGAACTGCAATTCATGTAATTCAATTGTAGATGTCAATATTATGATAACTGTATATTGAAATGAAAAAGCAATTAATTAGTTTATGGTTTATAGTAAATGCCCCTGGCCATTTATCATTTTGTTAAATCCCATCCATGAGAGGGAAATATTACATTCCATGTGACATTTTTGAAGAGCATAATTCCATATGACATTATTGGGAGGGAATAATGCTTCATTCCATATGACATCAATAAGGGAGATAATGCTTCATTCCATATGACATCAATAAGAGGGATAATGCTTCATTCCATTTGACATCAATAAGGGGATAATGCTTCATTCCATATGACATCAATAAGGGAGATACACAACGTGAAACACTATTTTCTAAGCACTACTAAGAAAGAATACTTAATGTCTTATCCATAAGTAATAAGCACTACTAACTACTAATTCTCAGGAATAAAAAGTTCACACTTATCATACCTATTGAGAGATAAATATTGCTTATCCTCGGCCCAGGTACGTCTTATCCGTGTGTCATGTGACTACTGCGTTAATTAACTAAGTAAAGCATTTCAATTTAAGTGTAGTATGTTTGCATGCAGCAAGCATTTAATCATTTTTGATTTTTGATTAAAAATAACTCCTTTGGATCAAATATTTAAATTCTACTAGAGTGCGGGGAGTGGAAACAAGTCTCCATTCAAGCACTGAATATCAAAAGAAAGATTTCAGGACCCCTTAACTTCACTCCCGGACTTTTCTATTCAACACCACCCATCCCCCTTCCCCAATTATCCCTAATGATCCCAGAATGTTCGTTTCTGTGCCCCCTGTCCATGGCCAGTAATTAATCTATGTGTATATTGTCTCCCTCCAAAAGGTAGGAAAAACCAGATGCAGACATAAACATTGACAAGGTGAGGGGATTTAAATATAAAAATAGTCTTGTTTTTGGCTCTGACTTAAATATCTTGACACTGTTTAACGAAGCCGGTTTAAGGAATGAGAGGCAGAAATAATTCCTAGATGATCTTTCTTTACTGTAATTAAGATGCTACTTAACCGCAATTTTAAAAGGGATTAAGTTATTTACCTTGTGATAATTTAATACTACTTATTGATTGGTTTGCCAAATATAATACCCCGTATAAGACCCTTGTCTCTGATTGTAAAACATCTGTATGCACCAAATCCGAGGAATATTACATTATGTGAAACAATTCCAAAAAGTTTTGTCTTGAACTCAATCAAATAGCAATATATTTCAACATGTAGAAATTATTTATTAACATAATGTCGGGCACTATAGGTTAAAGGGTTTTCAGTTTTGCTCTTTTTGTGTCACGCTTGAATTGTGTGCTTTATTTATTTGGGATTTGAATTTGGAAAGGTGAATTCACGATCAATAAAGTTTATAATATCATTCATTAACCAATACATCGAGGCAAAGCCACCTTTCAAATACATCATCTATTATGCATGTCCATTTGTAGCAATCACACGGCCCATACCACTAGGGGTATGTAGATGTTAATGAATGGGAAACTTTAATCTTTTTATCTTTATGTTTTCATTAAACAGCCAGAAAAAACTATTTTTCATTTCCCAAGGAATTTAAAATGTATCTAATATATTATACAATCAGACAGACTGGCTATTCTAATCCGTTATGAAAGGCCATTTGTTTTTTTCCACTACAGGATGTTTCTTCAGAAGTTAATTAATTGTTTATCTTAGTGTTTAGATGCATTGTCCCTTGACGCTTTCATGAAATAAATGAACTTTGTGATGGACTACAATTGTATATTTTTACAGGAACAGTTATTTTTATCACCAAAGTAGAGCACTTGTTACATTATTTTCATTTTAGGTCTCTCTTATTAGTTGCATTGCAGAAGTCTAATATTATTCTCTCCGTGTGCCGAATGTACTTATACCCGTAGCCAAGGGGTGGGGGTGGTTCAAGGAGTGCGAGAATTGGAATTGAATACAAAATAAATACGTAACATATAAATCTATAAGTACATAATATCTAGCCAAGTCTTCTTGCATTTTCTGAACTTCAAATGCGCCTTTTGATGTGTGGTAACAAAATACTAAATAAATATTTATGTTAATCCAGCTTGTTTTCATATTAATTTGGCAATAAAACATGTATAAAGAGATAGCAAATTGTGCACAACCCCAATCCCTTCCCCGATCGGGTCGCGTTTACTATGTATGTTATAATGTGTAAAAGTAATTTGTAATAAAGACAATAATGCCCCCCCCCCTCCCCTATTGCAACCATCTTCGTTCACTCGGCTCCCGTCGATGAACACAGTTAAGACCGAGCGTGCGATGTATTGCAACATTTTGTCAATTAATGGCATTGGCCCGGGGTATCAACACACATTTGATTGAAATAATTCAAACCAAAGTTCCAAATGAATAAAGAACGTGAAGGTTCTGCTTGACATTCGAACAAAAATTTATCCAGTCAAAAATAGATTTCTAATATTTGATCTTGATTAGATGTATTTATTGATCCTTAATTAAAACTACAAATGGTTCACTCAATTCCGAATAAACAAAAAATAATCCTATACACGTTTACTTGGTTCTCATGATACTGCCTATAACCTATAATACTCATGTATCAAAACAAATATTAATTAATCCGTCTGTGTGATTGTTCCCTGACTCAAACTAAGCAAACCCCGATTTCAGTTCTAAATATTTCACTTGAAACGATTTAGCCAACATGATACAATATGACATTTGATTAATTATACATGTATAAAGCCAATTATTATCAAAACCCATAAATGCTCACAATATAAATATAGTTTTATTTATGGCCAATAACAGATATCAGGGGCGTAGCCAGCTTTCAGTCAGGGGGGGGGGTGCGATCGCCAAAAAGATTTTGGGTTTCAGTCGGGGGGGGGGTGCGATTGTGACATAATCGGGGGGTGCGATTGTGACATAAACCAGCCAAAAAATGATTTTTATATTGAATTTTACAAAATTAGATGCAACTTCATTCCAAATTGAGCTAGAAGCTTCAAATAAAAAGCTTTAAAGTTCTTTTTCTCCTCTTTCTCAGGGTCTTATTCTTATTCGCAACCCCCCCCCCCTGGCTAAGCCTATGGATATTTAGACAAGTTTCAAATAAATAACCTAGCAACCAACCACGCAAGCAACCAAGCAAGCAAGCAAACGACCATCAAAGCAAGCATTAAACTAAGCAAGTAAAAAAAACATGCAACTTACAAATAAAGCAAGCAAACAACCGACAAACCAACCAATCAAGTAACTAATCAAACTCTAATCCAGCAAAGAAACCAAGGAAGCAACTAAGCAACAAAAAAA